GTTCATATGACGACATGCATGCGCGTGTGTGTGTATGTGCGGCTGCTTGTACTAGCCCAGACTTAAGCTGGTTTTATAGTGCTAGCCCACTGAGATACCATGCCGCAGTGAAGCATGGATACCCCACTCAGACACATTATACTGACTCTGAGCCGACCAGACCTTGTTGTACCCATTAATGCCGAACGCCAGGCAGGGACCAACAAGTACCATGTTTTAACGTCTTTTGGTATGACGCGGTCGGGGATCGAACCCGCGACCTTCCGCTCTCCGGGCAGACACTCTAACCACTACACCACGGAGGCGGTCTCTAATTGGGTTGATCCAGAGTAGGACCTACATCCCACAGGATTACCTGGACCTTAGTCTGTCCTACAGACCCTGAAGCAAATATATCCAAGAAATCCCACACAATTGCAAGTCTATAGAAAATGTGGCAAGCCTAGCTTTCCACAGCTTCAGGAAAATGAAGAAAGTCTCTGGGCTCCTTTTCATTATACTTTATTTTTTTCACTATGAGCTTTTTTTTCGCTAAAATGTCTTCATTTCAGAGACTAGTGGTTAGTCTACCTGGACCTGTGATTAGTCATGTGAAAACAGTAAAACTCCACAATCAGTTTTTATAATTGGAAAATTTTATTTCCTGACTCCCAGTTACAAATAAGGCAATACAGTGAAGGGACTGTAAAGTCTTGTACAAAGTCATTATAGAGGTCAGTTTGAACAGTGGGATACAGGAATTTAAAAAAAGAAAAGAAAAGACACTACAACACACTACAACTCATTCACTCGCCAATCACTCATTGAATGTTCAAACAATTACAAAACATTTTGGGGTTCCACATTATCAAGACTAACTACATGGTCATCAATGGCAGGTAGAGAGAATTCAAAAGATCACTTGAAATTTGCAAGATCATGATATAACATCCAGTTTTCATAAAACATACCTTCTTCGCTTTTACTAAAAGACATATTCTTTTCAATGAGATACCTATTATGTATCTACATGTATTGTCTAAAGTGTTTATAACTAAAAGTAATTTTAATACTTTACATTTATGTATGACTGACTGACTGATTGAGTTTGGTTTTACGCCGCTTTTAGCAATATTCCAGCAACATCATGGCGGGGGACACCAGAAATGGGCTTCACACATAGTACCCATGCGGGGACGAGCCAACGCTTTAACCACTAGGCTACCCCACAGCCCCACATTTATATATGAAAAACTTAGCTAACAATAATAATAGATCAAAAACATTATCAGTATATATTTTTTCTCATTCCAAACACAATAAGTTGTAGGTCAAAGTTCATGGTGTGAACATGCAAACATTTTTCATCAGTAATTTTAGAAAACATTGCCAAAAGGCTGGAACATACTTCAAGTTACTCAGGTGTTCCCATTTGTCTCTAAGCAGGCATCTGTTCAAACTCTAAACCGGCATTCGTTGAGGCCAGCACAAAAAATGCTGGTATAGAGGGCATGCCAGGTTAGAAAACTTTTCCTTTTTCAACCTGAGATTGATCTACTGTGTGCCGTAAAATACGACTGAACAACGTGTTGATAGTCATCATACTCTTTATTGATCAATAAAGATAACATCCGGTAAAGCAGGGAAAACATTCACACGACAATTAATTTATAATATAAGTGACATGTGTCGCTCACATACCTAGGCCTAATCCTTATCCATACTCCTTTTATCAGGCAACATCAATGGGCCAAATGATGTTGAGCCAAGATACCAGATGCAAGTTTAGAGAGCGTTAATTACTGTACAAACAGTCAGATGGGCAGTCTTTGTTGTGCCAAAATACGGAAAAGACTCACACTGGATTAGAGGTGTGTAAATCATCATAAATTAACTAGCTTCTGCCGGGACCAAATTCTAGTGCTGATACTGAGAGCATGCCGGGTTGGAGGGCTGCCGGTATAGAGGGCTTCCACTGTATGCTCGACTCAAAGCTTCAGTCAACTCTAGTGTGTACATGATCAGATCATTTCATGTGTTTATCTAAATAGTTTTTGTCATGGGTCAAGGATGCTTCCAAATCGAACATTTTGTTCCAAACTCTGGAAATGTGCAGTCATTAAGCCATACCTGGGTAGGGTTGAGAAACAGAGATCAGGTTCCCTGAATAGCAAACCCGGAGTTGTCTCTGTCCTTCCACTCAGTATCGTATGTGTTTTTATATCCTAGACATTCACTGGTTTAGACTGTACTTATGTATATTCTGTTCCAATTATAAGCTTGTGGCAATCGGTGGAGTTGATATATTGTGGAATGCTGAGTATCGATGCCCGGCTGATGGAGCTCCTCCACTGAGAGTGCCATGATGTAGTAGCCGCGTGTCTGAGAAAGACTGACTGCATCTATCCCAGTAGGCACCTGTTAATCGAACGCTTGATCAATCTGTCTGGTTCCTCCTCACTAGCCGAGTAATGGACAGGGCGGCTGTCTGGAATTACTTGTTTCATCAAGTTTATAGTGTCACAGTATCACTCAGGTGATAGATCAACTTTAACGTGCTGTGTACGATTAACTGAGCTTACTTAACATTATACTGATTTGTGGGTACAATGTGTCAAGCCCATTTCTGGTGTCCCCCGCTGTGATATTGCTGGAAGATTGCTAATAGCTGTGTAAAACCCCACTCACTCACTCACTCACTCACTCACTCACTCACTCACTCACTCACTCACTCACTCACTCACTCACTCACTCAACCACTCACTCACTCACTCAACCACTCACTCAATCACTCACTCAATCACTCACTCACTCACTCCACTCTCGGCTCAACCACTCACTCCACTCACTCACTTACTCAATCACTCACTTACTTAATCACTGACTCAATCACTCACTCAATCACTCAATCACTGACTCACTGGTCAACCACCAACTCACTCACAAAGGTTCCTTACGGGATAAGTTTTGTGGTAAACCACTAGTGCCTACCTGGGCTAATAAATGGGTTTGTAATTAAGACACTAAGTTAAATAATAGCCTTCAGCAATATACTAGTCGTATCACAACAGTCTGGTAGTAGTCCAGTGCGGATCACACAAACTCGTTATTGATGGTTATAAGCAGCATCCTGTGCTGGACCATGCTGTTGAAGGTCAGGTAAGTATTAGACTGATGGCGTCCTGCTGTAATCCCTGCTCCATCATGGGTGCTGGTATGAGCCGGCCAGGGTCAGAGTACAATATGTCCAAGCATACTTGGTTCACCTAGTCCATTTCTGGTGTCCCCAGCCGTGATGTTGCTGGAATATTTCTAAAAGTGGCGTAAAACAAAACTCAGTCAGTCAGTGGTTCGCCTAGTGGCTGCAAGAGTTGTATTCTCCCAAGGGAGTTGAGATTGATAATACGAAATTCCGATGAGACTGACACCCAATGGTCGAGGGAAAAACAAAGCACCTGTGAGCAGCCAAAATGAAACTCGGCGCTATATAAATAGATAATAATATAATATATAGTTTTATGCTAACAGGTAGTCAGTGACATTTCAGGTTTGTAAATATTTAGGGGTTTTGTGATTATTGCAGTTGTAATTCAAGCTCCACTTTGAGACAAAAAACAATTTTGCTGAAACTACTCAAGAGTATATATACCTCCGTGAGCTACTGATAGGACTATAACTCTTTCCCTCATTTTTCCCCCTCTCACGTTCCAACCCCCACCCCTGAAGCAACCTATGCGTGTTGTAAGAAACAACTGAATAGATCATTTCTTCAGAGTGAGTGATATTCATTGCAGCTCATCATAATTTGATTGCTCATTATGCCAATCACTGGATTTTCCGTCTAGATTGTTTACATTATAAGTTGTTCACTGGTCTTGACGGGGACATGGGCTGATGTACCCTCGGTGTTTGTTTTTGTTCCCTGAGCCTGAAGGGTAATTTTGGTAATTTTGAACTGTTTGAAGCAAGGGTATCGGATCATAGTATGGAGTACCAGATGGCAAGAAAACAAATTTAGAGTTATCTCCCTTCCATCGATTTGCATTCGCAAAACATCGGTAATTTCCGTACGTCATACGTGATTCAATGTAATTCAAGATAAAGAATTACTACGAAGTACCAAATGAGTTCGGCATTCCCATCGGGGTACATAGAAAATGTTACTCGCTTGTAAGCGGGGTACATTGAAAAAAATAGAAGAGCACTCAGCCAATCAGAAAAAGACATTTATGTGTGAGGCAAGATAAATTTATCTATAGCTTGATCTGCTACAACACAACCAAATGTAATGGACCCAATTTCTGCATTTAGAAAAATGAATTCTTTTAAAAATATCCTAACTTTCATTTACCTGTTTTGGGAATTACACTTGGAATGATGTATTACACAGTAGTCTGTGGTTGTCAACAACTTGATCAGCTTAATTGAATAGCTTTGAATAATCTGTGTTAAAAGCATGTGTTTTCTCTTTGTTGTGTCGTTGATTTCTCACAAGGACTAAAGAACAACAAAATCTCATCAGACACATCCTAATCTAGACTAACCCATAGTCTCTGAATTTATATAATTTTGATTGTAACAAGTAAACCCATTTAAAGTGAAAAGGGCTAAAGGGCTAATACATCCCATCCGGGATTCGAACCCACACCCTCAGAGTCAGGCACCTGATCGCCAGTACACAAAGTCCTCAGTCTAGATTACCATACGGCTTCCATTTTGTGGAAGTTCTGGTGGCTGGGCGGGTTAGATGGCTGCCTTGTGTGCTGGCGATTAAGTGCCTGACACTAAAGGTGTGGGTTCGAATCCCAGTTGGGACTAAACCCAACAAAAGTACTAGGATCTATACTTTACTAAGAAAGTGCAATCCCAAATATAACATATGTTACATTTGACCACTTTCTAAATGGCATAGTGTAATCTGGGTTCAAGTAGGATTCATTTCCTCCAATCGAACCCTGCCCTGTTTCTTGATCAATACTATATTCCTATTTACTGTACTGAAGATGGTGTCACTGTTGCAGGCACGACGGGCCATACAGCGGGGAGCTACAGCTGTCATCTTCGACGTCTCCGACAGTCCCGATGCTGCTGTTGAGGTAGGCCATCTGAGACTCTGGTCCTGCTGCTGGCACGACATGTCTGAAGCTTGTCAATAACAGCAGAAACATATACTGCTCATTCCAACAATGACTGACTTCATTGCTGAGTGCATTAGCACAATTTACTTTTCCTGAGGCTCTCTTGTCGTGATTTGCAGCAAGACGTGTACATAAATGTCAGAATGCCGGAAGCGCATGGAGCTGCGTGACATCTCCAAATACATTTGATAGAACGCCTGTCCAAATAATTTTTTAATGGTCCAAGTTTGTGTTTGTTTCGAATGTGATACTGTCACATTTTCTCCATATTTGTCAATGAACATGATGCGCCTTTGTTTATTATCCACGTTATTGCTCCTGGTCTGCTGCACAATCTACCATAAAAAATTCATGTGAATGTTTAAATTTTGGACACATAACTAAAGATCCATTTTTGCTGGGGACTTTGGTTGTAAGTATTCCTGGACTGGTCAGTGTGGAAACCTTATATCTGTTATTGAATACAAGGATCTTGCTTGTCAAAATTCAATGGTTTGTGTGTGATTTTTGTGAAAATCTTTTATTTTTATATTGTTTAGTGTCAAGCAGTTATGTGCTCCTGCAATTTGACTCCACTCTTGTCTGTGAGTCCACAAGGGGGATGGGTGGAGTATATTATAAGTTGTTCACTGGTCTCGAGGAGGACATGGGCTGATGTACCCTCGATGTTTGTTTATGTTCCCTGAGCCCGTAGGTTGAGGTATCTTACCGAACTCTTCAATGGTAGTTTTGAACTGTTTGAAGCACAGGTATTGGATCATAGTATGGAGTACCAGACGACAAGAAAAACAAATTTAGAGTTATCTCCTTTCCATTGATTTGCATTTGCAAAACATCGGTAATTTCCGTACATCAAAAGTGCTTCAATGTTATTCAACATAAAGAATTACTACTATGAAGTACCAAATGAGTTCGGCATTCCCAGCGGGGTACATAGAAAATGTTACTCGCTTTTTAAGCGGGGTACATTGAAACTAATAGGAGAGCGCTCAGCCAATCCGAAAACAACATTTATGTGTGAGGCAAGATAAGTAATGTGATGTATTGTGTCTTGTCTTACCCACATGAAGGCAATGGGATGGCCTAGTGGTTAGAGTGTTCACTCATCACGCGCCCAAGACCCGAGTTCTAATCCCCACATCTGTAGAATGTGTGTAGACCATTTCTGGTCTCCCAACCAACATATTAATACGTGGGATCCTTAGTTGCAATGTAACATCTCTGTCAAAATATGGACGAAATATAACATGATACCATTTCGGTGCACTACCCATACAAACATCCAGTGGTTCCAGTACAAAATCCTACACCATATCCTACCAACTAATATCTGTTTACAAAGAATGAGCTATACCAAATCAGATAGATGTGACTTTTGTTCCTACAAATCAGATACATTGCAGCATGTGCAGAATGTGATCTTGTACGGCCATTGTGGACCAAACTGGAAGGTTGGCTAAAAGAAAAAGCTCAAATAGAAATTCATTATATTAAGTAAAGAATACTCATTGTTTTCCAGACAGAAACAATGACCTACTAAACATGATCATCTTGATTTTCAAAAGGAATATATTTGACCATAAACAGAAACGATTGCCAACCTTCCAAACATGAATATGTAAAGTCCGGGATTGTTATAATATTACTAAATGTGCAGCTGAAATGTCAAATAGAGTCGATATGTTTTACAAATTCTGGTCTTCTTGTCATTCTCTGTTCATGTAAATGTATTGTGTTATTGATACCAGTATTTTCTTTGAAATAAAAGTTTAAATTTAAAAAAATAAAACAAATAAATTCTGGTCTCCCCTCTCTGGTCACCCAAAATTCTATGCCATCATGTAAATATATTGTACTTATATTCCATCATGTAAATATATTGTACTTATATTACATCATGTAAATATATTGCTGATAAATACTATAAAAGTGAAACCTTTCATCTATCAGGTATCAGTGTTTGATTGTGTTAAGTATGTGTGCTTCAGTTGGATGAGATGGGTGTGATTTTGTAGTGATTGTAGGTGTGCTTCAACTTGACATAAGTGGGAAAAGGCAGGCAAGCCAGGTGGCTATATTGCAAGTAATCAGCCTGTTTTTCAGCCTATGGACTTTAAACTTTGTACCTGATATGTGAGGTGGAGGTGAAAGTGTGGTGGGCAATTTGGGTTGTATACACCCAAGGGAGTTGACAGTGATACCTAAAAATGCATACAAACTGGTCGTGGAAGAAATCAACCATATTTTAGAGGATACAAATATACATGTGGATATGTAGGATGTATGAATGTGGGTAGAAACGTTTTGTTCTTCAACAATATGAAAATCTTCAAGCATTTTCGGGGAAAATTTCAGGGTTTTCTTCAGTAAGATTCCAGCCCCCTCCACTCCCTTAGAATATCAACTGGCTGCTCCGTAACTGATGATTATGTGATTTTAGATGTGTTTCAGCAAGAACAGATGTAGGTGATGAAAGAATGTTGTTTTTTAATTTCTTCAGCTTGACTAATAATAATGAGGGTAGTTATACCACACAATACTCCACACCACAAAGGGGCATGCTCGAAGTGCGCACAGACATCACAACATTATTACTCTGGATAACACAAGCTGTGTGTTAGGTATTGGAAGGTTATAGTCATATGATTTATCTCATCGGATACCCAATTTCTGCTGGGTGAACAGAGGCAATTTTGAACAAACTCACTTGCCTTACACTTTTGTGTTTCGTTGTGGGGCAGGACTGAAGTCCTAGAAACTCTCAGGAGTCAAATTACCAAACACAGTCACCCATCCAAGGACTCTCGCAAGCTCAACGTTGCTTAACTTCAACTGATTTGTGACCGGAGCTCTATGCACAGGACCACGAATCACCACAGATGTAGGGGATCTTAGAATGCTTTTTAGTGTAATTCAACCTGACCAGATGTAGGTGATCATAGAGTGATTTCAATGTGCTTCAATCTGAACCGATGTAGGTGATCATAGAGTGATTTCAATGTGCTTCAATCTGAACCGATGTAGGTGATCATAGAGTGATTTCAATGTGCTTCAATCTGAACCGATGTAGGTGATCATAGAGTGATTTCAATGTGCTTCAATCTGAACCGATGTAGGTGATCATAAGTGATTCGATGTGCTTCAATCTGAACCGATGTAGGTGATCATAGAGTGATTTCAATGTGCTTCAATCTGAACCAATGTAGGTGATCATAGAGTGATTTCAATGTGCTTCAATCTGAACCGATGTAGGTGATCATAGAATGATTTTCAGTGTGCTTCAATCTGACCAGATGTAGGTAATCATAAAATGATTTTTAATTTGCTTCAGCTCGAGAGTGTGGTTGAGCCTCTTCATCGTCCGGTCATCATCATCCGTGGCCGTGAAGCTGCAAAGCTGATGAACATTGTGAACACACAGGACCAGGCCCAGCTACGCCTCATCTACAGTCCCGCTGACAAGGAGGACAGGGGTGTCGAGGTGCGCTTAAGTGTCCTGTACAATCATGACTACCCCTCTTATCTTACCCTCATGATGTTAGAATATTGTGATCTGCCAAGTTCATTTCATGTTGATAACATGTATCCAGCCTTGGCTGGAAATATATATGTGAGCAGGGGAATAAAACCTGACTTGACGAAAACAGCCTGCTTGTGGATTTTGAGCTGGAAAATATATCTCTTGCACCCTGAAGCAAAAATTCTTTAATGGCAGATTGAGACATGTCACTAAGGTAACTTTGTTGTAGCAGTATCCGTTAATGTGATTTTCTTATAGCCTTCAGGTTTTATACCACAAGGCAAAATATGTCAGTTGAACAACTGATTTGTATCAACTTTCCATTTGTTTCTGTTTACCATTCAATCTTGCAGTGGCAGATTGAAACATTTTATTAAGATTAACTGGCTGAATCACATGTATGTGTGGTTTGGGGCATCTCTTGCTTGGTATTGTACCAAGAGCAGCAGGACTAAACTCTTGTGATACCACTACAACTCAGGTATTTCATTCAGGGCGTGTTGTGTTGTAGATCAGCCGGAAGGACTACTTCAACATGGGCATCTTTGTGGCTGTCTTTGTCATCTTCTCCCTCATCTGTGTCTGTGTCATCCTGAAGGTGAGTACTCTCTTGCATCAGCAGTAGTCATCCTGAAGGTGAGTACTCTCTTGCATCAGCAGTAGTCATCCTGAAGGTGAGTACTCTCTAGCATCCGCAGTAGAGTCATCCTGAAGGTGAGTACTCTCTTGCATCAGCAGTAGTCATCCTGAAGGTGAGTCCTCTCTAGCATCAGCAGTAGAGTCATCCTGAAGGTGAGTACTTTCTTGCATCAGCAGTAGAGTCATCCTGAAGGTGAGTACTCTCTAGCACCAGCAGTAGTCATCCTGAAGGTGAGTACTCTCTAGCATCAACAGTAGTCATCCTGAAGGTGAGTACTCTCTAGCATCCGCAGTAGAGTCATCCTGAAGGTGAGTACTCTCTAGCATCAGGAGTAGAGTCATCCTGAAGGTAAGTACTCTCTAGCATCAGCAGTAGTCATCCTGAAGGTGAGTACTCTCTTGCATCAGCAGTAGTCATCCTGAAGGTGAGTACTCTGCTGCATCAGCAGTAGTCATCCTGAAGGTGAGTACTCTCTAGCATCAGCAGTAGTCATCCTGAAGGTGAGTACTCTCTTGCATCAGCAGTAGTCATCCTGAAGGTGAGTACTCTCTAGCATCAGCAGTAGAGTCATCCTGAAGGTGAGTACTCTCTAGCATCAGCAGTAGTCATCCTGAAGGTGAGTACTCTCTAGCATCAGCAGTAGAGTCATCCTGAAGGTGAGTACTCTCTAGCATCAGCAGTAGTCATCCTGAAGGTGAGTACTCTCTAGCATCAGCAGTAGTCATCCTGAAGGTGAGTACTCTCTAGCATCAGCAGTAGTCATCCTGAAGGTGAGTACTCTCTTGCATCAGCAGTAGAGTCATCCTGAAGGTGAGTACTCTCTAGCATCAGCAGTAGAGTCATCCTGAAGGTGAGTACTCTCTTGCACCAGCAGTTGAGTCATCCTGAAGGTGAGTACTCTCCAGCATCAGCAGTAGAGTCATCCTGAAGGTGAGTACTCTCTAGCATCAGCAGTAGTCATCCTGAAGGTGAGTCCTCTCTAGCATCAGCAGTAGTCATCCTGAAGGTGAGTACTCTCTAGCATCAGCAGTAGTCATCCTGAAGGTGAGTACTCTCTAGCATCAGCAGTAGTCATCCTGAAGGTGAGTACTCTCTTGCATCAGCAGTAGAGTCATCCTGAAGGTGAGTACTCTCTAGCATCAGCAGTAGAGTCATCCTGAAGGTGAGTACTCTCTTGCACCAGCAGTTGAGTCATCCTGAAGGTGAGTACTCTCCAGCATCAGCAGTAGAGTCATCCTGAAGGTGAGTACTCTCTAGCACCAGCAGTAGAGTCATCCTGAAGGTGAGTACTCTCTAGCATCAGCAGTAGAGTCATCCTGAAGGTGAGTACTCTCTAGCATCAGCAGTAGAGTCATCCTGAAGGTGAGTCCTCTCTAGCACCAGCAGTAGAGTCATCCTGAAGGTGAGTACTCTCTAGCATCAGCAGTAGAGTCATCCTGAAGGTGAGTCCTCTCTAGCACCAGCAGTAGAGTCATCCTGAAGGTGAGTACTCTCTAGCATCAGCAGTAGAGTCATCCTGAAGGTGAGTACTCCATCCTGAAGGTGAGTACCAGCAGTAGAGTCATCCTGAAGGTGAGTACTCTCTAGCATCAGCAGTAGAGTCATCCTGAAGGTGAGTACTCTCTAGCATCAGCAGTAGAGTCATCCTGAAGGTGAGTCCTCTCTAGCACCAGCAGTAGAGTCATCCTGAAGGTGAGTACTCTCTAGCATCAGCAGTAGAGTTGTTGATGTTATTGTCATATTAATTCTAGTAACATCAACACTGGTCCTATCTTCTCAACATACTAGACAGCGTGGGTTATGCGATTGTCTATTGTGTCACAATTTTCTATTCAGAGTTGCTTCCCTTCATTATGGATTCGACCCGTGAAGATCTGGGGTAGAATAGGTCTTCAGCAACCCATGCTTGCCACAAAAGGTGACTATGCTTGTCGTAAAAGGCGACTAACGGGATCGGGTTGTCAGGCTCGCTGACTTGGTTGACACATGTCATCGGTTCCCAATTACGCAGATCGATGCTCATGCTGTTGATCACTGGATTGTCTGGTCCAGACTCGATTATTTACAGACCGCCGCCATATAGCTGGAATATTGCTGAGTGCAGCATAAAACTAAACTCACTCACTCACTCATTATGGGTTTGAAATCCAGCTTGGCTATGATGTTTTGGGTTTGTCCACATCATACACATCACTACTTGCTTGAATCTTGAATATTTTATGAGAGCTTCAAACAGTTTACTGTTTATGTCTGTGGAGTTGATTTGACAATTAAATAGATTAAACACTTTGTATTATGTGGAATACCAATGTTTGGTAACTGTATGTAAATTGATAAAATTCAGAAAGAAACAATGTGGAACAAATCTACATAGTAACCTACTGTTTTATGCATGTCCGTGTTTCTTTTTGTTTGTTTGTTTGTTGTTTAACGTTCGACTAAGCAATATTCCAGCTATATGGTGGAGGTGTGTTAAATTAATTCTGGACCAGACAATCCAGTATCATCAGCGAGCCTGACCACCCGATCCCATGAGTCGCCTCTAATGACATGCATGGGTTGCTGAAGATCAATTCTAACCCAGATCTTCATGGGTGTTATTCTTTTCTAAGAGCAGGAGGTGAGAGTTGAAACTTCTGCTGTTCATGCTGAAGTCATGAGTTTGATTCCCAACCTGTTTTCAATGTGTGAAGCTCTTCTTTGTGTGACCAGCCATGATAGTGGTGAAGCGTTGTTAAAAACAGCATTAAACATTTTCTACTAAACCAGAAACATTAAACATACTGCTTCATACTGTCTGATGTATATGTTGTGTATTTCAGGTAAGATGGAGAAACAGGGAACGTCAGCTGTCCATGACCAATCTTGCCAAACGAGCTATTGCCAAGCTAGAGACGAGGAAGTACATACCGAAGACGACCAAACACAAACATGTAAACACACCAGACTCCGACTCCAGCCTTCAAAGCTCCGCCTCAGAGAGTTGCGCCATCTGTCTGGAAGGATATCAGGAGGAACAGGTAGATGGACAGACAGATGCAAGAATTATGATATTTCTCTTCTATCTGTACAGATTCCTTCCTTCAAATAGTAATAATAATAATTGTAATAGTCCGCTTATATGGCGCTCATATCCAGGCACATTGCCTGCTCATGGCGCTACATACATTACTATCCCTGGTCATAGGACGCTATCGTACTTTCCAATAATTCTTCGACTCCCAGGGGAGCATACAGCCATGCTGCCTGTTAGGCGCAATGAACTAATCACTCACATTGCCAGCACATCCTCATGGGTACCCATTTTACAGATGGGTGAGCTGAGACAATGTGGATCTTGTATCTGGTACAAGTATCTTGTCCTACTACACAAATGTGCACACCTCAAGACCCGAACCTAGGTGCCTCCACCGGGATTGAACCCGGGCCTTCAGCATGATAGGCAGACGCCTTACCACTGCAGTATTGCGCTCCACTTGAAACATGTTGGATGTATTGGTTGCCATACTCATGCATGAAGACAAAACATTTTCATAATTTTCTAATAAAGAAGGGGTTGTGGTGTAGCCTAGTGGTTAAAGTGTTTGCTTGTCACGCCAAAGACCCTGGTTCGATTCCCCACATGGGTACAATGTGTGAAGCCCATTTCTGGTGTCGCCCTAATATTGCTGAAAGTGGTCTCAAACCCAACTGACTCACTCACTCTTACTTACTTGAGGCATACTGAAGCAGAACTCACTGTGCAACCCTTAATGGTGCCAGAAGGCTATGCTTTGGGGGTTTCGATTCCCAGTTCTTCATGATTATGTTTTAAGGTTGGTCAGCAAATTAGTAAACATCTATAACATCTATTACTTGGTATTTCCTCTGACATCAAGCTGATGTGTTGCGATATGCCTGTAGTACAGTCCAAATCTCGCTGTCAGAATCACTGCCGCACTCAGCAATATTCCAGCTATATGGTGGCGGTCTGTAAATAATCAAGTCAGGATCAGACAATCCAGTGATCAGCAGCATGAGCATTGATCTACTCAATTGGGATACGATGACATGTGTCAACCAAGTCTGTGAGCCTGACCCATTAGTCGCCTTTTATCACAAGCATGGGTTACTGAAGACCAATTCTAACTTTTTTGAAGCTAGAAAGAACTATAGTGTGATCATGTATGAGAGGGTTCCTCCAATGATGAAAGGTTTATAATTAATTCTACTTATACAGCTTTCCTACTCTCTGTGTTTAGGTTCTGCGAGTGTTGCCATGCAACCATGACTTCCACCGCACGTGTCGACCCCTGGCTCCTCAACAAGGGCACCTGTCCTCTGTGTAAGGTCAACATCACAGGTAAACAAACTAACGGGAACAGAATACTGTATTAGCTGAAATAGAGACACTGGCAACTTTGAAAGAAAATGGAGAAAATTATAATGGAAACCAAACACAGTGAGGCAAGGTGAGGTGAAATGGGGTTTAAGGTCATACTCAAGAATATTTTGCTCATATGACGACATGCATGCACGTGTATGTGTGGCTGCTTGTACTAGTCCAGACTTAAGCTGGTTTTATGGTGCTAGCTCATTGAGATACCATGCCGCAGTTAAGCATGAATACCCCACTCAGACACATTATACTGACTCCAAGCAGACCAGTCCTGAAGAAGTAGCCCAGAAATGTTGTGTTATAAAATAAAAAAGTTGCCATCCATATACTCATCTTATACAGTGCTTGTTGTACCCATTAATGCCGAGCGCCAGGCAGGGACCAACAAGGACCATATTGTAACATCTTTTGGTATGATGCGGCCGGGGAATCGAACCTGCAATCTTCCGCTCACCGGGTGGACGCTCTAACCACTACACCTTGGAGGCGGTCGCAAACACAAGTGTAATTTGTTGCCAGAGATTGATTGTTGGAGAACAATCTTTATCTTTGTTCAAATGTTGCTGAAACTGAGACATTTTCAAACTAATACCCCTTCTATGATGTGGGTTAGTCTTTCCCCAAACATCCGAAGAGGGCAGGGTGACACAATTTAAAAAGGGACACCCTTATTCCAACTGGGACAGGCCATGGCAGATTTCCAAGTATTATGTTAAGTTATTCATGCATAGTGTTTCTTAAAGGCTCAAAGAGCACTGTTATTTCACTTAACTTCAAAATGAAATAGAAAATAAAAACCACCAAGTGTTAGTATTGAAAAGAAGGGCAGGGCATCAAATAAAAAAGACTGCGCCCTGCTAAAAATGCCGAGGGAAAACTGAAGGGGTGATGGGGTAGCCTAGTGGTTAAAGTGCTTGCTCATCACGCATTGTGCGGCTAAAAGTGGCATGAAACCTTACCGATTCAACCCCTCTGTACTGTGTTTTCTGTAAAATATCTGTAATAAAAGTAAGAAAATATGTCTTGTTCATTTTTGTGGTAATGACTTGACACATGTAAAAAGGTTAGTTCGAGATTGGTGCAGCAGTTGATGAATGGATGCCTATTGGAGTAGGTAGGGTGGTTGGTTGGTTCCTTGTTTAACGCCGGACTGAGCGATAGTCCAGCTGTATGGCAGTGGTCTGTAAATAGCCTGACAATCCAGTGATCTGTTGGAGTAAGGGCTCAATAGGGCAAATACAGTATTACAGAGAGTTGTGGGATGTTGCTTCATGTTCTTGTATTGTCGGGGGGAATAAAGGAATATGTAATTATGGGAAGTCTTTATGCAGCCCACCATTCCTAGATATGTTTGACTGGTACCATATTGGAGGTGATGATGATGCTTTTTGTTCATGGTCTTAGATTCAAATTGTACAGTGATTACTCAACGTCTTGCACCAGTGCCATTTATTTGGGCCGTTTCCACCCACAAACAGCAGTCTGATCAAGACCAGCATCTAGCAACCTTTTCTCAAGCAACCTACCTCACTTACCCTGACAACATCAAAAGCTTTGGGTGCCACCATCTTGAATATAGTCTGACTCTTAAGAGATCTTGTTATTTATTTACAATCTCCATTTGAACAGGGTACTATGACAGTGTTGTGGTATCCATAGCAACGAGTCAGTCAAACGCGACTCAAACATATCGTGGCAAATTGTCTAGGATTGTGTAATGAATATAGTACTTGAATAAAGGAAGATATAGATTTTACAGTTATTGTAACATATGAACCCCCCTACAATATTACTTTGTTTTGGTGTATTTTCACAATCTTTATGTTTCTCTTAATGTTTTCTTTGTTTACACATTTCCATACATTACTTTCATTTTTCATAATGTTTGTTGCAGCACAAGTTGAACTGCCCCCAAATGAAGTGTCTGGTAACCATGACAACAACACTCAGAATCCAGGCTATTCCATCGTCTCCCCATCTGGTCAGCGCAGCAGCTACATGCCCCTGCAGTACCTTCCCCGAGACTTTCCCCCAGCGCCAGTTCATGTCATCCCAAACCATCATCCCCTGTTACAGACCACCTGCCCGTCGTGTGAGGGAACTGTCGGGTCCTCGCAGTCCTCCACCGACTCTTACATACAGCAAGGTTTCAACACTCACACTGAACACTACTACCAAAACATAGACTGCATTCACAGTATTCCAGAGAGGAGAATGGTGGTTGGATCATATCGACGTTCGGTCGGACCGTATTTTCCGTCCCGTCTGTCCGCCACCCATGTAATGTCACCGTCTTGCCAAGGTCAGTGTGGGTATTCTCACCGAGCTGGTCCTCATCGACAGTTATTCTTGCCAGTGCCACAAAGTGTCCGACGTGCGTGTGAAAGTGAGGCTGAACGTGAGGCAGTGCGAGCTGCGAGTATTGTTGCAGTGCGGGGCAGCAGTAGCTCGGATCCTAACCCGAGCGACACAAGTCTTGAATGTGATTGTTGTAAGCAGTCAGCTGGGTCGACTATGTTTGACAGCAACAGAAGCACGTACGGCAGTTCAGACAATAAGGACTCAAGTGACGTGAGCAGTTACGATTCTTACTTCTACCGAGACCACAGTCCCCAAAGCAGTGGGGATGAGAAACATCATCTGCCAAATGAGACAAAGTTACCTTCGGTCCATGTCCGACCCTCATGCGGATTAGGTCGGGGGAGACGGGAATCAGATCACCGGGAAGCTGCACAGAGTCATACGTGTAGGTCACGTGACAAGAACAACCTTGACATTGTGAAACGAGAAAAATGTGCTCAGGAACGTGTGTGTGATACATGGCAAAAACTTCACAACTCTGCTCCATGTAATCACAAAAAGTCGGACACTAGTCATATTCTCGCCAACACTCGGCCACACGAGGGAGCTGGAGCAGGGCCCTCTGTCTGTCGAAGACATAAATCATCTGTGATATCTATGCAGAGAAGTCGAACCTTCTCATCTTCTCGGGATTTTCAGTCAGGGGTCAAGTTCGGTTCAACTCTTGACCCTCAAGTGTGTATACGACAACATCGTGTTAGTGCTCCATCCCAAACGTTTAGAGATAGTGCAATTACATCCTCCTATACTCGTACACATAGCGGCGGGATACACTTCTCCGCTACACGCCGCTATTCTCTGTGTCTTGACTGCAAGGGAGGTCACCAGGGTCACGTGTCTTTCCGTTCTAGGAATTCTCATGCATTTAACCAGTGGAATAGCAGCGGGTCACATGGTGCTAGCAGCCGACCCAATCGGCTGACAGTGTGTTCAAGCAGTATCCGTGCAGAGCGCGGCTACTCCAGACTGGTGCGACCGATGCCGTATCGGCCAGTGGTATGCGAGATGTGTCGCCGGCTCACCCACGTGCCAGTTCCCCGCCGGTCGGTCGTCTTGTACACAGAGCCACAAGGTAGGAACTGGCAACTGTATATATACTTCTAAAATAGTTTAAAGATCACCAGGGGTGGTGGTAGCCTAGTGGTTAAAGTGTCCACTCGTCACGCCAAAGATCCGAGTTCGATTCCCCACATTGGTGCAATGTGTGAAGCCCGTTTCTGGGGTCCCCCACCATGATATTGCTGGAATATTGCCCAAAGCGGGGTAAGACCATACATACTGACTTGTAAAGATCGCCAGACCCTTTCATACTATACTGTAGTCCATATGTCACTCCATGACAGATTAATGGATGCAATGTGAAAGAATCAGGTATCCATTTTTCAGTTGTTTACGTCATCAATATTTCACTTTGGCTTGACTCATTGGTAAACAATATCAACCAGACTTCAAAGCCAATATATACTGATGGAAACAAATAAGGGAACTCCTTCATCGCATTGTTCTTTATTAATTCTCAGATTTTCACCCAACTTGCGAAGAGTCATGTTAAATTGGTCTTCAGCAACCCATGCTTGTCATATGAGGCGACTAAAGGGATCGAGTGGTCAGGCTGTCCAACTTGGTTGTCATTGTATCCCAATTATGAAGACTGATGCTCAAAGTGTCCATGGACCCCTCCATGGTGTAGTGGTTAGAGCGTCTGCCCGGAGAGCGGAAGATCGCAACTCGTCATACCAAAAGGTTGGTACACAACAAGGACTGGTCGGCTCGGAGTCAGTATAATGTGTCTGAGTGGGGTATTTATGCTTCACTGCAGCATGGTATCTCAGTGGGCTAGCACTATAAAACCAGCTTAAGTCTGGGCTAGTACAAGCAGCTGATGCTCATATGGCGAAATATTCTCAAGCATGACGTAAAACCCAATTTCACCTCACCTCACCTCACCTCAAAGTGTCCATCACAGGATTATTTACCGACTGGCACCATCTGATACGGTGGAATATTGCTGAGTGTGGTGTTAAACAACAAACAAACAACATCAGAGTTTTACCCACAATGCAATGCAAAGCTAACGTAGAAACCTGGAAAAGAATTTCTTGTGTTCCTTTAGTTGTTTCCCTCCATATATATATATTCATGTGTGATGCAGTGAATACAACCATGTGGATTCTGTATAGAAACACTCAAATATGGACTATCATATACATTATGGGTTTCAGGAAGGGGTGGTTATCTAGATTGTTATTGAGCAGGACTCATTATAGTGAATACAGTATTGAAAATTTTAACTATAAATTGTGTATTTATAATACTTATCCTATCTCATGGATTGTACTCTCTCTCTCATGATTGACATGAGATAGGATAAGTATAAAAATAAATTGTTTTCTGGTTTCAAACCACTGGGTAGGTGGTCAAAATAAAAATGAATCAAAAAAAAAAAATTAATGTCAAAAAGTGGTTTCCTAGAAATATGGGCAGGAAGTCAAAATTCTGAAACAAAGAAAGACCAATTTCATGCACTACCTTGATAGAGAAGTCTTGGGGGTATTACTGAAATACAGTCCAGAGACATGAGTGAGGAATATATCCTGTTTTCATGATTATTCCATATTTTACATAATTGATTAGCATTTCTGGTTAGTCATTTAAAGTGCAAATAATTCAATACCATTTTGGGGTGATTATGTCAGTGATGTGAAAATCAGACCTTCATTTGAAACAGTGAGCTGTATGAACAGCACTGTGATTATATTCACAGAGAAGGGGGTCAGTAATTATTATTGAAAACATTTCAACAACATTTTAACCACTTGATATCTGAAAACGGATTAAACTTGTGTACAGTTCTAATAAGCCCAATTTGTCAGTTGTCAGTGAAGTAAATCAAGGGCGTGGAGCGATTGTTACAGGGAATACGGTAATGAGAGGTTTTTGATGTGTTGTCCATTTGTGACCTGTTTGCATTTCTCGGGATATGCACCTCTTCACCCCCTCCATGTCAGGCAGGCAGCCATTGATTAATGTCTGAGGAAACAATGTATTAATCATTTACAATCTCTTCTTTTTTCAGGCGCTTTCATCACAATCCCTCTTGGCGAGAAAGAAAAGTACGACCCTGAGAATGGCGTGTAGAGCAGCGGACACTCATGACAGGGACTTGTTGTTATTGTTTATGTTTGTTACCATGGTTACCTCATTACCTCAGTCACGTGGTCAGTGTTAGCGCTGCCCCATACGCAGTGATTGGGTCATTTGTTGGTGTATTTTACAAGATCGCATTTACGACGTCACAGGGCACAGAATGGTGTTGAAGAAAACAGATAAACAGGAACGTGATGTTATTATTGTCTATAAAATGTAATGACTTTGTGACAGTTCCGATGTTCTGTTAGTTTATGTCAATGTGTGATATTGGGTAGTCTCTGTAATACCCATAGCTGACTACAGGACTGGCACTGCTATTCTGTTGGGGGTCAGGTGCAGTCAGGCAGGGAGATTTTTACAAAGTAATTAGTTTTTGAAAATACTGTGAAAATATTGTGTTACTTCAGGTTGTTCAAATAAGGTTTGCTGGATGTACAGATATGAAATTATGAAAAAGACTTAAATTGTTCGTCTCTTCCTCCTGCCTTGATATTGCTAAAAGCGGCGTAAATCTAAACTCACTCACTCATCTCCTCCTAATGGAGAAAAAAGTGCAAGTTTTAAAACACCCCTCCTACCATACTGAATATTTAATGGTTAAAAATAGCCTGATGTAACAAGCAGTGGATGTGACAAAGGATTTCACATATAGGCCATCTTCAGATTTGCCAGACATCACTTTAATCAGGATTAGATTGAATGATGAATGGCACTACCATTCCTTGTGTCGTCATGTTCACCTGTCTCTGTTGTGTTCACCTTGATGTCAATATATTTCTCCAGACAAGGGTTTCACCTGTGTTTATATGTGATATGTTAAACAATTTTTTGATTTCCAGATGACATGAAACTGACAGCAGAAACAGTTGTTTCATTTGTAGAACAACATGGTTGTTATGGTGATGCGTTTACAGAACCTTTTAAGTCATAATAACAATTTTCAGTTTCAAAACCTCAATACGCCGTCATGACAAAAATCAAATTCTTGAAAATAAAAATGTGATTTCTTGGAAAAAATGGAATTAAACACCCAATACATTCTACCTCACTAATAACAAATATAGCATTGTATGATTAACTTACAAGGGCCATTAGGGGATTAGAATTAAGAGCTTGTTTTGAATCTGGGCATCATTCTTCAGAGAACAAAAAGTGTAAGCGACTAGGTGAAGGGCAGAGGACGATTGCCACAGAGAGCTAGGACACCTTCAAGAGAACGGTCCTCCTTGAATTAGATTTATTGCAATTCCTAATGAGCAAATCGGCATTATTGAAGTTAAGAAATATTGTCTAGTTCTCAGATCTGAAATATGTTTGTTACAGTTTGCTAAACAGTCAGGCAAGGGTTCTGCACTAAGATCATGTGTGTGGAATGTAGTGTATTTTGTACTTGGATTGATAAGGGAAGAAATCTCTGATGCAGTGTCGTGTATGATGTTTTGTAATCCAGTTGGAGATATGGTGTCCAGCTGGAGGGTAGATAAACCAAGCGTTTCATGAGGACAAACACGAAGTACATGTGGTGCTAATCTGGATCACAGGGTTCACAGTGGTATTGGACCAGGGGAGATAACTCTCATATTTACTTCTCACTCTTGTTGCAGACCTGAAAGAAAACTGGTAGTGCATTGATGTATTTGATATATATATTTATTTTTTCTGAGTAAAGCAAGGAAATATTGATTAATTGGTATATTATTGTTGAAATTGGGTATAGGTTGGAATGTACTAATTAGCAGTAATGTGTATAATCACTTCAAACAACAGCATCTGACGTTTGATGATCTTACAAAGACAAAATGGTGAGATCTTAGTGGACAAAAATCTTTTCTTTTTTCAGTAGTTCTTAGGTGTGGAATATTTGGATCAGTAATACTCTTGCATTTTCAAGTTATTCTGCTAAAAGGGTTTTGTGAGATGACAATGATTACAAAAGGTTAAAAGCATAGGTTATGATAAGATGTCCCACAGTAGACTGTGTGACTCTCACCATGGCCACAGTATGGAATTCACTGCCAGTCCGGGGTGAGTGTTGAACACCTTCAGCCCCATCTCTCTATATTCTTGGATCTATGTACCTACTACATGTGTCAGTCTTGCCAACACACCAGTCTCTGTTGAGCATTTATAGATTGTGATTCAAGATGTTGAAGGGGTGCTTATCTGAGGTTCAGAGATGCCAAGCCCAAAGTGTTGTAAATAGTCTTTTCAAGGATCAAAATTAGTAGTTTGACCTTAAAAATAGTAGTCAATTAAGTACTTTAAAACCATTACGGACTCGGAGAAAGATATGACACCAAATAGAGAGTGAAGCTTTAATTTCACACACCTCCACAGCAGATTTATTTAATCGACGAAAATATATGTTTTTGTCTATATATCTGAATTTTAATGAATTTTCTTTAAATTTGGTAGAATTTCTAGAGCAATCGTATTGGCGTAGTTTGAGGCTAAAATTCGTAGCGACTACGATAAAATCATACAGGTTGGCATCTCTGGAGGTTTAAGGAATAGTCATGATTTCATTGAAACATTGATTTTTGTGTAGATTAATGGTTGGAATGTTCACTTGTCATGCCAAAGGTCTGAGCGTGATTCTCTTGTGTGAAGTTTGTCTCCCATGCTGGGATATTGCTGGAGTTTGGTTAAAAATGACAGGACTTCCAACTCACTTGTAGAAAACACAGTTAATGGGCTAGATGTGTTTTTTGAAGATCTGTGAAAATTTTCATACTTTGGATTAACACCCCTTCAACAGACAGTTGATAGATTTTATTTGTTCTCTGTCTTTTTTAGGGCATTTGTTTGTGGTCAGCATTCAAGGAATGAAATGTCTGTATGTACCATATTTCACCATGCAAACTTAGTATATTTCAGTAACTGTTTCACAAGCGCTGATTTCATAATGTGAGTCATGTTTGTTGTCAGTGAAACATCAGTGTTTGTGGTTTTACCATACACACCAGTGGGATACAGGATTACTAAAACAGTCCTCTGCACAAAGATTGCTAAAAATGCATAGAGGAAACACTAGAACCAATGTTTGTTGGAGTGAGTGAGCGAGTTTGGTGTTACGTCGCTTTTAGGAATATTCCAGAAAAATCATGGGGGAACACCAGAAATGGGCTTTACACATTGTACCCATGTGGATGGTTTGTTGGAAGGCGTGACAGTGACAGTATGGATGGATGGTCCTTGGCAACCTCTGTTTGCTGGAAGGCGTGACTGAATGGATGGATGGTCCTTGGCAACCTCTGTTTGCTGGAAGGCGTGACTGAATGGATGGATGGTCCTTGGCAACCTCTGTTTGCTGGAAGGCATGACTGAATGGATGGATGGTCCTTGGCAACCTCTGTTTGTTGGAACATGTGACTGAATGGATGGATTGTCCTCAGCAATCTATGGTTGTTAGAAGATGTGGCTGAATAAATGTGTGATCCTCAGCAACCAATGGTTGTTGGAAGATGTGACTGACTGGATGGATGGTGCTGAGCAACCAATGGTTGTTGGAAGATGTGACTGACTGGATGGATGGTCCTCAGGGACCAATGGTTGTTGGAAGATGTGACTGAATGGATGGATGGTGCTGAGCAACCAATGGTTGTTGGAGGATGGTTGACTGAAGGATGGATGGTCCTCAGGGACCAATGGTTGTTGGAAGATGTGACTGACTGGATGGATGGTCCTCAGGGACCAATGGTTGTTGGAAGATGTGACTGACTGGATGGATGGTCCTCAGGGACCAATGGTTGTTGGAAGATGACTGACTGGATGGATGGTCCTCAGGGACCAATGGTTGTTGGAAGATGTGACTGACTGGATGGATGGTCCTCAGGGACTGGATGGATGGTCGCTCAGGGACCAATGGTTGTTGGAAGATGTGGCTGACTGGATGGATGGTCCTCAGGGACCAATGGTTGTTGGAAGATGTGGCTGACTGGATGGATGGTGCTGAGCAACCAATGGTTGTTGGAAGATGTGACTGACTGGATGGATGGTCATTGTCGGTGACATGTTTTGGTGCATGTCATATCCCAATTGTATAGATTGATGCTGGTGGAGTCAATCAATTAGTGTCTAGTCCACGTGTGATTATTCACAGATAGCCACCTTATAGCTGGAATATTGTTGTGGTGTTGGAAGAAACAAACAAGGGGTTGCGTTTTGGGGATTTTTTGCAAAATGGCAACTGTATGTTTCCATCTTCACCTGTACAAGTTCAGTCTGAAATATTACACTTTACAACACAATGGAGACAATGAGATCAGAACCCTCATGGTGAAGCAACGTTGCTTACTTCACACCTAAACTGCCTGTTTACACACATAATTTATGAATGTGAATATTTATGTTGCCCTTCAATGCAATAATCGGGTAATGATAATGAAATGTATAGTGTCGTTATTCTGAATGGTTCAACAATGTAGCTTGATGGTAACGATTGGTTCAAGCTTTCAATGTCTACCTCATTTGATTTTTGTAGACCTTGTGGTTTTCTTAGGGAAGCTGTAATTTCACATCGTGGAATGAAACGCATAAGACTCAATTGATGGAATTTATTTATTGCATTTCTGCCAGTACGACATTGTGTGTCTGGTTACAATTGTTCAACTGCATATTGAAACCTTAATAAAACATTGCATCCTGTATATTGTATTTGTTTCAGGATTTAAGTAAAGCGTTTGTCTTCATACAAGTCATAATGAAAACAAAGATGATAATATTCATAATATTTCATTGTTATCTCAGTCCGTATACATGTACTTTTATATGCTGTTGAAGGATGCACTAATGTCAGCTGGAATATGAATTTGAGGAATATTTGATTTTGATATTTTCTTCTGCTCTCCTGTATGTATATGGGGATCAGTTTTCTAGAAATTCACTAATTATGTTTTTCAAGCCTTTGTATCCAACACAGTCTAGTAGTTTAAGCATTTGTGAAGCTCATGTCTGCCATGATATTGCAGGAATATTGCTAAAACCGACATAAACTATACTCACTACTCATTAATACTAGGACAACTATTTGAAGCACTGTAAAATCAGTTTGACACCAGCATTACAATGCATTTTTGTTTGAAAGTTACAATCTTTGTGGGTTCAAAGCTCTCCAGGTCACAACCAGTTTTACAATCTCAGTGTCTTCTGTAAGCAATATTAATTTAAAATTGATAATAAATGTCTTATAAAACAATTAAATTCAGTTATATGTTCAACAATGATGTTATGTTTGTAAATTTTGAAGCTGGCATGAGTGCATTCCTTTATGAACCACTCTTTTATGAACCACTTTTTCCTATAAATGAAAGACATAATTTTTCGATACAATGCACAAAGTGAAGCTCTTTTCCTGTCCTGAAATGTTTGGAAACTGTCACGTTTTTGTTGACTGTTTGGTGAGCGGTTGCTCTGTTACAAGGGTAAATGTCTGTTGTTCCTGTGATCCATTGTCTACTGGGATGGAGAGAGGAAGAAGTCGTCGTTTTCTTGTGATACAGATTTAAGCTCTGTACAATTAAATATTATTAAAATCATTATGCCAATAAAGTTCGTCTGTTTTTCTTGACATCAATTGGATGTGTTGGAAGGTGTCAACACACTATTCAAAAGGAGCATGTTGAAATACTGCCGTCATGTATTTAGATTTTAACTATATTGTGGCTACCATTCAAAGAATCCTAGAGGCCAGTCTTGGATACCTCGTGCTGGATTCATGAAAGCTGAATATTCTCTTCAAGAGGTTGTATACTAAGAAATTATCGGCAAGTTACATAAAAAGTCATTGCTCTACAGCTTGTTCAGCTTGACCTGAGCTACTCTGCATGACCCGGGGGGTCAAAAGGCAGGCCAAGTTAACTTCATTAAAAAGGGGAGCAGAGAATGTTGTTAATGCCTAAAAGCCCGAATCAGAAACATTAAACCATCTCTAGCTTCCTTTTTAAAGAAAGTTAGGGCGACCTTGGTTTGGCTGTTGACAATGAACTGACAAAGGTGCACCTGTTCATAATAATGGACCCAACCAGTTGTGACATGGTAACGCAATGCATTAGTATTCACTTAATCAGGGCAAGCTGAGCAAGCTGTAGTAAAAGTGATTCATTTCAGTGGAGTGTCGCGTCTAATCTAAATATAGTAAAGTATTCATCTTTGCTCAAAGTTCTGGAACATTTTGAAACTACATGTAGTTTGACCCCTACCGCCATTGCATCTTGCATGAATCACAACATATTTCGTCAATAGTAAATCTTGGACAACTATAAGGTCATCTGCATATTTACCTTCCTAAAACTATACCCGGAAGTGACATATTGTACATGGTAGCAGTGTGACATGTTTAAGGCTAAAACGTATTTTACTGTGTATCAAACTGAGTAGAAATACAACACACTTGATATGGATATGCAACTTCTTTATTATTTACACACGACGTTTCTGGGCTAATACTTGCCCCTTCATCGCCTGATGAAGTGTGTAAATAATAAAGAAGTTACATATCCATTGACATGGATATGGATCAGGCGATGAAGGGGCAAGTATTAGCCCAGAAACGTCGTGTGTAAATAATAAAGAAGTTGCATATCCATTGACATGGATATGGATCAGGTGATGAAGGGGCAAGTATTAGCCCAGAAACGTCGTGTGTAAATAATAAAGAAGTTGTATATCCATTGACATGGATATGGATCGGGTGATGAAGGGGCAAGTATTAGCCCAGAAACGTTGTGTGTAATAATAAAGAAGTTACATATCCATTGACATGGATATGGATCGGGTGATGAAGGGGCAAGTATTAGCCCAGAAACGTCGTGTGTAAATAATAAAGAAGTTGCATATCCATTGACATGGATATGGATCAGGCGATGAAGGGGCAAGTATTAGCCCAGAAACGTCGTGTGTAAATAATAAAGAAGTTGCATATCCATTGACATGGATATGGATCAGGTGATGAAGGGGCAAGTATTAGCCCAGAAACGTCGTGTGTAAATAATAAAGAAGTTGTATATCCATTGACATGGATATGGATCGGGTGATGAAGGGGCAAGTATTAGCCCAGAAACGTTGTGTGTAAATAATAAAGAAGTTGCATATCCATTGACATGGATATGGATCAGGTGATGAAGGGGCAAATATTAGCCCAGAAACGTTGTGTGTAATAATAAAGAAGTTACATATCCATTGACATGGATATGGATCGGGTGATGAAGGGGCAAGTATTAGCCCAGAAACGTCGTGTGTAAATAATAAAGAAGTTACATATCCATTGACATGGATATGGATCGAGGTGATGAAGGGCAAGTATTAGCCCAGAAACGTTGTGTGTAATAATAAAGAAGTTACATATCCATTGACATGGATATGGATCGAGTGATGAAGGGCAAGTATTAGCCCAGAAACGTTGTGTGTAATAATAAAGAAGTTACATATCCATTGACATGGATATGGATCAGGGTGATGAAGGGGCAAGTATTAGCCCAGAAACGTCGTGTGTAATAAATCGAATGATGAAGGGCAAGTATTAGCCCAGAAACGTAAATAATAAAGAAGTTGCATATCCATTGACATGGATATGGATCAGGTGATGAAGGGGCAAGTATTAGCCCAGAAACGTTGTGTGTAATAATAAAGAAGTTACATATCCATTGACATGGATATGGATCGGGTGATGAAGGGGCAAGTATTAGCCCAGAAACGTTGTGTGTAATAATAAAGAAGTTGCATATCCATTGACATGGATATGGATCAGGTGATGAAGGGGCAAGTATTAGCCCAGAAACGTTGTGTGTAATAATAAAGAAGTTACATATCCATTGACATGGATATGGATCGGGTGATGAAGGGGCAAGTATTAGCCCAGAAACGTCGTGTGTAAATAATAAAGAAGTTGCATATCCATTGACATGGATATGGATCGGGTGATGAAGGGGCAAGTATTAGCCCAGAAACGTTGTGTGTAATAATAAAGAAGTTACATATCCATTGACATGGATATGGATCGGGTGATGAAGGGGCAAGTATTAGCCCAGAAACGTTGTGTGTAATAATAAAGAAGTTACATATCCATTGACATGGATATTGATCAGGCGATGAAGGGGCAAGTATTAGCCCAGAAACGTTGTGTGTAATAATAAAGAAGTTACATATCCATTGACATGGATATGGATCGGGTGATGAAGGGGCAAGTATTAGCCCAGAAACGTCGTGTGTAAATAATAAAGAAGTTGCATATCCATTGACATGGATATGGATCAGGTGATGAAGGGGCAAGTATTAGCCCAGAAACGTTGTGTGTAATAATAAAGAAGTTACATATCCATTGACATGGATATTGATCAGGCGATGAAGGGGCAAGTATTAGCCCAGAAACGTTGTGTGTAATAATAAAGAAGTTACATATCCATTGACATGGATATGGATCGGGTGATGAAGGGGCAAGTATTAGCCCAGAAACGTCGTGTGTAAATAATAAAGAAGTTGCATATCCATTGACATGGATATGGATCAGGTGATGAAGGGGCAAGTATTAGCCCAGAAACGTTGTGTGTAATAATAAAGAAGTTACATATCCATTGACATGGATATGGATCGGGTGATGAAGGGGCAAGTATTAGCCCAGAAACGTTGTGTGTAATAATAAAGAAGTTAACTTCTTTGAGTGGCATTATAGAAGTTGGGAAGTACAATATAGAACAAACTTTATGGATAACAACTTCTTTTTATTCGTGAGTGCTAAATCTAGTGAACCCACGAATAAAAAGAAGTTGTTATCCGTAAAGTTGGTTCTATATAATAAAGAAGTTGCATATCCATTGACATGGATATGGATCAGGCGATGAAGGGGCAAGTATTAGCCCAGAAACGTCGTGTGTAAATAATAAAGAAGTTGCACATCCATATCAAGTGTGTTGTATTACCCTACCAACTTCTAAATGCCTATAAACTGAATAGAAGTTTCAATGGTTTGGGTTAAAAACTTAATTACATACTAATCTTAATGAAATTCCTAAATAATTTTTAATATTAAAACTAACTAGTGAGATTAGATGCTTGTGGCAAGTAAATGTTCGACACTGTCAAATGCTAGTACCTCGTGCAATAGTAATAATAATTATCCCCCGCAACGCGTTTTGCGGGGGTATTAAAATGGACTCCGTCCGTGCGTGCACATTTGTCTTTTCCGGAGCAGAACTCTAAACCCGTTCACTATTTCTTCACCAAGCTTGGCACATAGATAGATCTGGTGGTGTACTGGTGCCTTTTAGTAGTTTTGGAATTCTGAATAAAACATTTTTGGCGTTTCCATGGCAACAAGTTCGACTTAGAATGAAATTAGTGGTAGTGCTCTTTTCCGGAGCAGAACTCTTAAAACCGTTCACTATTTCTTCACCAAACTTGGCACATAGATAGATCTGGTGGTGTACTGGTGCCTTTTGGTAGTTTTGGAATTCTGAATAAAATATTTTTGGCGTTTCAGTGGCAACAAGTTTGACATAGACTGAAATTGGTACTATAGTTTGGCATGAAATGCATGTGGACCCGTTTTTTGTAAATATCTCCGTCCAATGATCCCAAACTGTGCAAGTGGATGTTTTGTCAGACAACCTAATCACATTGTAAATCACCGATTTTATGCATTTGTATTAAAGAATCTGTCTATGTAACTGTCAACAATATAAACAGCAGAACGCAGACGGCTTGCAGAGGGAGGGAGCCAATGACCTGTAACAGCGGCAGTGTTGGGTCATAAAGGTCAACGTTCGTCAATGTAGGTCAGCTATGCACGTGACAGGTATGAAGAGGTGTAACGGGTCGTGAATAGGGTAAGGTGGGTGCCAACTGTTAACCATCATACGGAGTTTGTTTCTCTGAGTTGTTCAACATTAACCACAAAACCCATTAGTGAGAATTATACTGTAGGTTAAAATCTTTAAATTTGTAATGTTAATGTCATATTTTGTTTATGCAGTACCTAAGTGGAAATGCATTTAAAGAACACAGAAAGTATATTTACACTATATCTTTAATCGGACCACCTATGGTTAGAACTCAACAACTGTTAAAGCCCCGTTCCCTCGGACACAAGCACACACAATCATGCACACTCACTGAAGAAAAGATAGAATAAAGGCAAAAGTGTTATGTTTTGATGTCGTTCATATTCCAAATTGAGCAATGCATTTCTAATAGCTTTAAGCATATAGATAGTTAATATATATATTTTCATGATAATTTTATGTGAAATGAGTGTTTCATGTTACACTATAAGTCGTTGGAATTAGTCAGTGCTGTCATTGTTAAAAGAAGGTATATTTCTTTGAGCATATCTGGCTGGATACTATTATTATATATAAATATAATAACAGAATTAAACTTCATCAAGTTCACTCCATTCTTCCACAGAGGAGTCATCAGTGTCCAGACGAATGACAACTGGATTAACTGTTTGCTCCTTCAAGCCATCTTCGAGCCAGTACTCTTTCTCCACCTTCTTGACATGTTCAACACATGCATGCCAGCGTGCAATGTCAATGTCACATATAGCAGTGTTGACAATGTGCTTGACATCATTCAACTTGAATGATTGATTTTTCCGGGCCACTGTACTTTTAAGGTCTCCCCAGATAAGTTCGATTGGGCTGAGATCACAGTGGTACGGTGGTAATCTCAAGACGTTATGGCCGTGTTGGCGTAGCATGTTGTCAATGTTATATGTGGGTGGAGGTTTGTTAGGTTTAATCAAAGAGTACAACTGTGGTTTAGTGGCCTTAATTGAAAATTGTATATTGTTATTTGTTAGCCATTGCTGCATATCTGACTTCTTTGTATTGGAAGTTGGGCACCTATTGTTTGGATCTCGAACACTGTGATCGGGAGCATTGTCCATGACAAGAAGACTTTTGTAAGGCAGAGCTGGCAACAATTGTTCCTCAACATACTGTGTGAAAACCGTTGAGTTCATTTCTGTATGATAGTCCCTACCATCTGTGCTCTTTGACCGAAATACCAGATCACACCCAGGTAGGAATCCACGGTGGGAACGAGCATGAAGAACGATTAGACGTTCACCTTTGCCTGTTGGTATTTTCCTACCATCACTGGGATCAGTGGGTAGCCACTGTCTGGCAGCAGTATGGTTTGCATTGACCCAGGTCTCATCCAGATATATAGGTTCGAACCCATCCTCTCTTGCCTGCTTAATTTCTCTCAGATAGTTACACCTTATTTTCACAATATCAGATCTCTCACACATTAAAAGTTTCTGGTTTGCTACCTTCTTGTACTTGTATCCAAATTTGAGCAGTAGTTTGCTTAGCATAAACCCAGGAACATTAATGTCGTGATGCTCTGCAAGGATGTGTTTTAACTTTCTTGTGGACAGGTGTTCATTTCTAGCGAATAGCCGGCGAATGACATCTCTGATGACCCTGATGTCAAAAGAATCTAACTTTGGATGCCTACCTTTTTGTACAAGGTTTTGTTTATTGGTTGTTGGTTTATTTTTCACAATTTTTAGCACGATGTTCTTTTTCATGCCAAGAGCAAAAGTTGTACGTTTCATGTAATCCGACACCTTATAAATCGGTTTGCTACGTTTGCTCTCTTTTTTAAAGAATATTCAACACATTTCTAATTAAACGTTTAGCATCATCTGAATAAGCTTTCATGATGACAGCTAGAAGTAGTCAATGTGAATGATCCAAACGGTCTATCACTGTGCAGTGCACAGGTAACTATCATGAACTGCACGTGCATTTACCTTTATGACCCAACACTGCCGCTGTTACAGGTCATTGGCTCTCTCCCCCTGCAAGCCGTCTGCGTTCTGCTGTTTATTTTGTTGACAGTTACATAGACAGATTCTTTAATACAAATGCATAAAATCGGTGATTTACAATGTGATTAGGTTGTCTGACAAAACATCCACTTGCACAGTTTGGGATCGATTGGATCATTGGATGGAGAGATTTACAAAAAAACGGGTCCACAAGCATTTCATGCCAAACTGTAGTGCTCCTTTCTGGAGCATAACTTTAAAAACCTTTCAATACTCTCCTTCCACTTTTCTATATACACACCTAAATATTTGACATAATCATAACTCGCAGACATAATCATGAAGAGTACTTTGCCATTGCGGGGGGATATTGATGACTTTGTCTTCTTCTTATTTTTGTCTTGTATTGTGCCTAGTTTCCATCACATATGCTCGGCGGTGCTGCATACATCGTTAAAAACACAGTAAGAGTATAAGAGTTCTATTCAAAGCCATCTTGAAGAAGTAGGTTTTCAGCAAGTTCTTGAAAGACGACTGGGACTCGTCTGAGGCTGACTGGAAGATTGTTCCATAGAGCTGGTGCTGCTACAAAAAAAAGGCGCTATCACCCATTGAGGTTTTAGTGCTTGGCATGGTTAGGTCTACTAATGCCTACAGTGAATAATGCCTACAGGGAATAATAGCTACAACGTTTGCAGTGACAGCGATACGCTTACCTGCACACAAGTAGATTGTTCCACTTAGTGTGCACTATTGCCTACAAAGGGATTAGGGGAGGCCAGCAAGGAGAGTAAAGAGTAAGATCAAGAGTATTAAATCGTTAGCTAGCTTATGTTTTGATAATTCCATACGCATTTAGTTCTCACACGAGAAGGAAATTGAAGAGTAAAGTAATTAATAGAGAGATTATTAAAGGGAGAAGGAAATGTATTGCTTTAAAATTGAAGAATAGAGTAATTAATTGAGAGATTATTAAAGGGAGAAGGAAATGTATTGCTTTAAAATGCTTGTGATACAAATCTTCATTGCAAATCATGGCAAATCCCAAGAAAGTCGAATACTTCACATCACAGAAAGGAGGACAGCAGGTACTCTTGGAGGGATACCGCTACAGACTCAACAACAGGCGACAGACGTGTGTACACTGGAAGTGTGTTCAAGGTGGCTGCTTTGGCAAGTGTACGACAGTCGGACAGTTTGTTCGGAATCAGACCCCACACAACCACCCACAAGAAGACCAGGTAGCCCTGATGATTGCCAGTTCCCCTGAGGCAGCGGGTACAGACTGAGACGACGCCAGTTCAGGTGATCTACGATGAGGAGATTTCCCGACTATGAAGAGTGGACTCTACAAGCAGAGACGGAAGATGATGCCGCCACTTCCCCAGACGCTCAGCGAGGTTCTACCCGACTTCTTCAAGGAGACTACAGATGGACTGCCCTTCCTCTGCATTGATGACGGTGATGATGACAAGATTCTCTGCTTCGCCACAAGTGACCGCCTGACCCTCCTGCAAGAAGTGGACACCCTCTACATGGACGGCACCTTCTACTCCTGTCCTCCTCTCTGGGATCAGCTGTACGTCATCCATGGCCTAGTCGGAGGGAAGATGACCCAGTTGGTCTTCTGTCTACTGCCGAATCGTCAACGCCGCACCTATGAACGCCTGCTACGTCTCCTGAACGACAAGATCCAGCAGACAACGGGATCGCCCCTTCAGCCTGATGTCATCCAGACGGATTTCGAAATCGCTGCCATCAACGCTGTTGAGACCGTCTTCCCAACTGCGACGTCCGTGGATGCTATTTCCACTACAGCCAGGCTCTCTGGAGGAAAGTACAGAACCTCGGCTTCAGCCAAAGCCTACCAGCAGGATCCTGAGGTCCACAGATGGGTCCGACGAGCAGCAGCACTCCCCTCCTCCCAGTGGCCATGGTACAAAATGCCTGGATAGAGGTCATGGACGACGCCCCTGCCATTGGACAGAAGGATGAGTTCCAGGACTACATCACCAGTACCTGGGTAGACAACCATGCACGGTTCCGAGCCGGACTATGGAATCACCGACACCAGCGCCCAAGGATCGAACAATCATCTCGAGGGTTGGCATTCGCATCTCAACAAGACCGTCTAGAGAGCCCACCCGAACATTTTCGCTCTTGTGAAGGTTCTGCAGAAGCTGGAGAAAGCGGAGAGAAATAAGCTGGTGCAGATGGCTCATGGCCCCGTCCCCCACCCCGCAAGAGGACGTACACAGAAATTGACCAGAGACTCACTCGTCTGAAGGCCCTGACATCTGGTATCAAGACACCCCTGGAATTCCTGACTGCTGCAGGATATTTGATCAAGCTAGCTTGAAAACCAAATGACTATGTTGATGAATGTGTGAAACTGTGTGTATACATGTAAATTACTTATGGTTACCACAATGACTTTATTAATGAATGTGGTAGTTGACTCAGATCTATATATGTATATATAATTGAATTAATTAATTTTAATCCAAATAAATGACTTTTTATTTATGCAATTTATTTATCTCAAAACAAACTACTTTAAAGATGACTAAAGTTTATCTTTTAAGATAAATGCAACAAAAATATGTAAAATGTACAATCTTTAAATGTAAAATCTTACTTTACTGTTTTCTATAAAGACATTTTTTGAAATAGGACCAATCTTGAGACTAAAAGGGACATGTAGGCAGACTTGGCAGATCAGCAGTCTGTTACACTTTCTAATATCATACTATTTTAACATAATTTGTGCTCATAATCTGTTTGAGACTTGGCATTATAAAGTTGATGAATAGTAATAATTTGAAAAGTTTGTTTGGCATATGATAAGAAAAGTATGATACTTTATGGATAAAAACTTCTGTATTTTATTATGATGGGACGTTTCCGTATAGATTCTTATACTGTTGTCAAGCAAGAGTAACGTAATACAGTACAGAACCGACTCATATACATGTGACAGGGATTAAGTAAAACAACATGAGCTCACAGCTTGTGTGACCCTCCACAATGAAGTTTCTGCCATACCTGTCGATTGTCAAGGCGATAATAATAACGCACTCTGGAATAGATAGAAGAATATTTATTACCTCTTGAAAACCATAAAAGTTTTGACACCAACATGAGTGTCTCTTGTAAGATTTACCTTTCAATGAATTACAGTCAAGAAAACAGTCTGTTATAATGTGACCTTTGGTCATCTCCATGGAGTAGCCAATCACAGACCTGGAATTCAATCTCAAACAGGTGTGACAAATCAGGTTTCTTGTTTCCAGTGTTAGAAAGTATGTTCACCACGCAGGCATGGTGGGCGAGCTGTCTAAGGCCCCAGGCTTGTGATCCAGCGAACTTGAGGTGCCGGGATGGATCCCACCTGTGACCTGCTGTAAAAACCTTGGAGTCATCTTTGTGTGCAGACTCTTTCAGTGTTGTCACAACCCCTAGTGTACAGTACACAACCCTGTGCACTCAAAAGAACCTACGAATCCGTTGGCAAATGACAACATGCGTGCCACATAAATATGTGCAAACACCTAGTTGCTGGTACAGCAACGTGCAGTAATGGGTACCTCGTAATGATGGGAAGCAACATTAACTCGGTTTGCCTAGTGGCTGCAAGAGTATGATCCCCAGGAAGTTGAGATTGATAATATGATGTCCCCTTGAGATTGACATCCAATGATTGAGGGGAAAAACAAAGCACCTATGAGCAGCTGAGCTGGATATTGGCATTATACAAACATTAGCATAATAATAATAACAATAACTCCATCACCAATGAATACTTTCAGCACCTGGATGTAGTTGATAGTTTTAATCAACAAATCAAGACACAAACTGGTTCTAGAATAATGGGATTTGCACACCAGAATTAGATATTTGTTGCATGATAAATAATGCTGTCTCAGAGCCATCTACTTCACACTTCTGTTAGGCAATAGTAGTGTTCAAACAGAATTTACAGATAGAGTGGGCTTCATAAAGAAGTAATATTTTTTCATTTCAATGTAAGATGCTCTTCCTTTCTACACATGACATCAGTGGGTGTTCACGAGTGATGAAGGAATGAAGTCTGTACGAATCTGTTACAATACATAAGGGCTGTATGACATCAGTGGGTGTTCACGGGTGATGAAGGAATGAAGTCTGTACAAATCTGTTACAATACATAAGGGCTGTATGACATCAGTGGGTGTTCACGAGTGATGAAGGAATGAAGTCTGTACGAATCTGTTACAATACATAAGGGCTGTATGACATCAGTGGGTGTTCACGGGTGATGAAGGAATGAAGTCTGTACGGAATCTGTTACAATACATAAGGGCTGTATGACATCAGTGGGTGTTCACGAGTGATGAAGGAATGAAGTCTGTACGAATCTGTTACAATACATAAGGGCTGTATGACATCAGTGGGTGTTCACGGGTGATGAAGGAATGAAGTCTGTACGAATCTGTTACAATACATAAGGGCTGTATGACATCAGTGGGTGTTCACGGGTGATGAAGGAATGAAGTCTGTACGAATCTGTTACAATACATAAGGGCTGTGACATCAGACATCAGTGGGTGTTCACGGGTGATGAAGGAAATGAAGTCTGTACGAATCTGTTACAATACATAAGGGCTGTATGACATCAGTGGGTGTTCACGGGTGATGAAGGAATGAAGTCTGTACGAATCTGTTACAATACATAAGGGCTGTATGACATCAGTGGGTGTTCACGGGTGATGAAGGAATGAAGTCTGTACAAATCTGTTACAATACATAAGGGCTGTATGACATCAGTGGGTGTTCACGGGTGATGAAGGAACGAAGTCTGTATGAATCTGTTACAATACATAAGGGCTTATGACATCAGTGGGTGTTCACGGGTGATGACGGAATGAAGTGTTACAATGTATGAGGGTGGCATGGCAAGTATTCAGGATAGTCTTGCATTTCCAATGTTGTCCGTCACTTTTCACAGAAATACACAACAGAGCATCAAAACAGCAGTAACAGATTTGATCACAGAATTCACTGGCCAAAATGACATTAAAAACATTGAAGTTATAAAATACCTAACAAAAGGTAAAAATGAGTACTTACTACTGTAATCTGTTATTCTCATCATTACATGCATACACATTTCAGAAAGGAGCTAGATTCAGGCAAATTTACCTCCTCGCAAGTTTGGGTCAAAATTGTTACAACACTTCTTGGTTCTCTGGCCATTTTTATAATGATTATCAAACTAGGTATTATGATAATTTACTTAAACACTATTTCCTTGTTTGATACATAGCAATGGATAAATAAAGAGTACAACTATTCTCCGATATTTTTAACAAAACAAGTACAGTGGAAGCCCTCAAAACAGGCAGCCGTCCAATCCGACATGCTCTCAATATCGGCACTAGAATTTGGTCCCGGCAGAAGCTAGTTAATTTATGATCATTTACACGCCCTCCAATCCAGTGTCAGTCTATTCCGTATTTCTGCACAACAAAGACCGCCCAATTGACAGTTTGTACAGTTATTAACACTCTCTAAACTGGCATCTGGTATCTCGGCTCTCCTTTTTATTGGCTGATTGGCCGAACGTGTATTAACAACACAGTGAATACCATCGGCATTAAGCTCATTGATGTTGACTGATAAAAGGAGTATGGATAAGGATTACCTAAGTAGGCGACACCCTCTATACAAGCATTATTTGCTAGTCCCAAAGAAAGCCGGTTTGGAGGGTTTCCGCTGATGGTAATATGATGTTGGGGTGGCCAAGTGGGTAATGTGATGACTTGTCTTCTGCCTTCCTGTCTGCTGGGGTGGCCAAGTGGGTAATGTGATGACTTGTCTCCAGCCTTCCTGTCTGCTGGGGTGGGTAATGTGATGACTTGTCTCCAGCCTTCTTGTCTGCTGGGGTGGCCAAGTGGGTAATGTGATGACTTGTCTCCAGCCTTCCTGTCTGCTGGGGTGGGTAATGTGATGACTTGTCTCCAGCCTTCTTGTCTGCTGGGGTGGCCAAGTGGGTAATGTGATGACTTGTCTCCAACCTTCCTGTCTGTTGGAGTGGCCAAGTGGGTAATGTGATGACTTGTCTCCAGCCTTCCTGTCTTCTGGGGTGGGTAATGTGATGACTTGACTCCAACCTTCCTGTCTGCTGGGGTGGCCAAGTGGGTAATGTGATGGCTTGTCTCCAGCCTTCCTGTCTCCTGGGGTGGCCAAGTGGGTAATGTGATGCCTTGTCTCCAGCCTTCCTTCCTGTCTCCTGGTGGTGACCAAGTGGGGTGACCAAGTGAATGTGATGACTTGTCTCCAGCCTTCCTGTCTCTGGGGTGGGGTGGGTAATGTGATGACTTGTCTCCAACCTTCCTGTCTGCTGGGGTGGCCAAGTGGGTAATGTGATGACTTGTCTCCAACCTTCCTGTCTGCTGGGGTGGCCAAGTGGGTAATGTGATGACTTGTCTCCAGCCTTCCTGTCTGCTGGGGTGGCCAAGTGGGTAATGTGATGACTTGTCTCCAGCCTTCCTGTCTGCTGGGGTGGCCAAGTGGGTGGGTAATGTGATGACTTGTCTCCAACCTTCCTGTCTGCTGGGGTGGCCAAGTGGGTAATGTGATGACTTGTCTCCAGCCTTCCTGTCTGCTGGGGTGGCCAAGTGGGTAATGTGATGACTTGTCTCCAACCTTCCTGTCTGCTGGGGTGGCCAAGTGGGTAATGTGATGACTTGTCTCCAACCTTCCTGTCTGCTGGGGTGGCCAAGTGGGTAATGGCATGACTGTCTCCAACCTTCTTGCCTGCTCGGTTGGGTAATGTGATGACTTGTCTCCAGCATTCCTGTCTGCTGGAGCGGCCAAGTGGGTAATGTGATGACTTGTCTCCAACCTTCCTGTCTGCTGGGGTGGCCAAGTGGGCTTGTCTCCATGTAATGGCATGACTTGTCTCCAGCCTTCCTGTCTGCTGGGGTGGCCAAGTGGGTAATGTGATGACTTGTCTCCAGCATTCCTGTCTGCTGGGGTGGCCAAGTGGGTAATGTGATGACTTGTCTCCAGCCTTCCTGTCTGCTGGGGTGGCCAAGTGGGTAATGTGATGACTTGTCTCCAGCATTCCTGTCTGCTGGGGTGGCCAAGTGGGTAATGTGATGACTTGTCTCCAGCCTTCCTGTCTGCTGGGGTGGCCAAGTGGGTAATGTGATGACTTGTCTCCAGCCTTCTTGTCTTCTGGGGTGACCAAGTGGGTGATGTGATGCCTTGTCTCCGTGATTCTTGTCAACTTCAACATTGCTGCCATTTCAGTTCCTGTTGTCATGAATTAACCCCTTTATCTTGATGGGCTTGTCTACAGCCATGTTTTCTGTAGAGGAACTCCAGCACAAGCGCCGTCCAGCCTGTCTGATGGCTGCAACACATCAAACGTAAACATTAAAATTGTAAAATCTGGTATAACAATACTATCTCACTTGACTATAGGGTATGACAATGGTGTCTTATCGGGTTATAGCATATAACAATGTTATCTCACCGGGTACAGTATATAACAATGTTATCTCACCTGGCTACAGTATACGACAATGTTATCTCACCTGGTTACAGTATACAAAAATGTTATCTCACCAGGTACAGTATATCATAATGCTATCTCACCAGGTACAGTATATAACAATGCTACCTCACCAGGTATAGTATATAACAATGTTATCTCACCTGGCTCCGCAGCCTCTGCCAGACTCGGCATGGAAGAACTCATAGAACAGCAGCAGGTGTCTCCACCCTGGCCGTGTGTAGTACTGTGTGTAGCTGCCTGTGGACCGACATTGAGGAGCAACTCAGTGTTGAATAAAACAATCTTATGTTGGGTGTGGTTTGGGGGTTGTGATGTGATTGAATTCGGGACAGGAATAGGTTATCATCACACCTTCGGAACAATTTAGCATTTTTACCATTTTTTTTAATACCCAGCTTCTGAAGTGAATCTTTTTTCTTTTTGTGCAAAACCTGACACAAAATTGCATAAGCTCTTTCATTCTTTTGTGGGACACTTCATGATTCATTTCAAAAATAATCCAAGACTTTTTGAGAAAATGAAATGGTTGGTCCATTTAAAGTGAATCCAACCAAGCCGTTTAGAACTTTAACAAGTATGTACAGCATAACTCGAGGTACATGTGAGTGTTTGAAAGTTGTTACAATGCAGCACAACCCACCATGAATAGGCCTAACACCATCAGCACCAGGCAGGAACAGAGCCACCACACGTTCAGAAACATTTGCTGCAACATCTGCCAGCGATGCCATGTGCCCAGAACCAGTGGGATGTTCTATCCTGTAAGTGTTTCCATACACCTCACTGGCTGTGTCCAGACTCTCCACTATCAGATAGTTCACTGGATTAACAAAAACATAGAGCCCTGAAAAAGCTTTTACTTAAGAAATACAGTTTGCTCTACCCCTCATATATAGTGTTATAAAGCACACTTTCGCCGTGAACTATTATGGTTAAAGCACAATAATAATACAGTAATGAGCAGAAAATGCGACTTTTCACAGATGTAGTTTCAAAATTGATTTACTGATACATTCCGTTATATTTTTCATACATCCACTCTGGATACTGAAGTTTACATTTATGCAAGTCAATAGTCTGTTAGTCCATCGTTTCTCTCGATGCACTGCTGAATACAGCGTCCCATGCTGTCAATCAAATTGTCTATGTAGTCCTGGGGTAGGCCCACCCATATTTGACTGATGAGATTAGACCACTCAACGACACTCTTCGGTTCCAACTTTTCTAATTTGTCCTTCATAATCTGCCACACATTTTCAATTGGGTTCAGGTCTGGTGATGCCACTGGAAATTTCTGTAAGGTCACGTGACTCGTTTCAAACCAGTTACAGGTGTGTCTTGACTTGTGTACAGGTGCATTGTCCTGTGAAAGTTTGAAAGGTATTCCACTCTGTCCTATATGGGATTCCACTATGCCTTCTTGTATAAGTTGACAGTACTTGCGTGAATCCATCCTTCCTGTAATAGTTAGCAGCGGCATTACCCCAGAGTTTGCCTATACCACCCCAAACCGCTGGGTGAGAACTTCAGAACCATTTTGCAGCTACATCCACCTCTTGACCACCTCTTTCTTGTGATCCTATAAAACTGAAACTTTGATTCGTCCATAAAAATCACATTTCAAAAGTCTGTACCCTGCATTTCCCTGCACCACTCGAGCCTTTTCTCCATATGTGCTGTTGTCATCAATGGAACTTTCTTCGGCACTCGCTTGACATATCCAGATTGCTTTAAAGATCTTCTGATTGTCCATTCTGATACCTTAGGGGTTCCTTGACTTGACGCCTTCATGGCAAGCTGTTTTGCAGACCAGTGTGGGTACGGGGCCGAGAGACGAGCGATACGTCGTCTGTCATTTGCCCCAAGATTAGCACGACATCCCGATCCAGCCGGTCGCTCTGTCCCTAACCCTGCGTCAAATTTCTTCAAATTTCGGTAAACAGAGGCCCAATGCAGTCCCGTCAGTTTCACAAGTCTAGTTACAGATGTAATACCTGCTTCATAATATGCCAAGAGTCGATTTCTGTTGTTTTGTAACGTCATGGCAAAGCTTCGGGTATCGTCTGCTAGCAACGAGGTCAGGTGATCAAGCCATCCCTGAACCCAAGGGAGATGATTCCATACCAATGAGGCAAGCTACTGGCAGCTAGAAACAATGTACTTCGGCTTTTTTGATAGTAGGATCAGATCTACAGAATAAAGTTTTTTGTCGCATTTTTTCTGCTCGTAACTATATGTACATGTACATAAGTACAGTACACATTTGATTACGGCAGACATGGAAAACGACGTTATTTACATCGCAAGTTCTGGCAAGTGAATCCTTCAAACTCAGTGTCACTATCTTCATGAGGGTAGGACAAAAACACCAGTACAAAATTCCAACCGGACAAAATCCCATAGTACAAAATGTCTGCACACTGAGGACAAAATCCCAACAGTATGAAAAATGACACACAATTTTTTTTAAATGGATATTTGTATTTTTCCTCATAAGTAAATTATGGCTGATTAAATGCTTGAAACTGGAATTCCAAACTTCAGAAGGATTGTTGGCGTGCTGCTGATTGTTCCTGGTCATATCATGGACATTCCAGACAGACAGTTTGAAGACAATCGGATGGGCTGTTGTCTTATTTCACCTGGGTTGATAGGTTGCTGGAGTTTCAATTTCACCTAATACTGCTCTTATGTGTAACCTTCTTAGTGTACAAAATCCATCTAATTCTATTTTAACTCCTCCCTTACTGCTCTTCAGTACTTCCATTTTGGAAAACAGATAAACACTGTCATCATCACAGATGCATTTGTATAATTCATCAATGCAGCCACTGGCCTCTGTTACGAAACCTGCTAATCGACTTATTTCACTGGCTGCTGTCATGAAAACATGATAATTAACTCACTGGCATCTTGGTGAAAAAGGGTAACAATAACACATAAAAATGGGATTTTGTCCTATGTTGGTCATTTTTGTGGGGGATTTTGTGCAAAGAAATATTGTCCTATGGGATTTTGTCTGGTTGGGATTTTGTCTGTCCCCTGTCTTCACTGGCCAGAATCTGCCACGGATTCATCATCATAACACAGATTTGCACACCCCAGGAGATCTTCTTTATCATTTCTCGATTCAGCTGAAACAAACTACTCGCATAAAGCCTAGGCTTGAGAACCGTCCATAGCATTAGAAATACCACATTTAAGAAACGAATTAACAACTATGTCAGTGAGTCTTTTACCCACTTGGCTACTTACTGCACTGGAGCTTTTCTCATTGTGTTTGGTTTGGTAAAGGTGTGGTCACCATCCACCATCCACCTGGGCCACTTTTTCAACACGTTTGTCTTGAATGGTTTATTTAGGGACACATCCAGCGGTTGTAGTAAAGATGTACATCCACCTGGTATTATGGCCTGGTGTGTTTTCTTCACTGTCTGGCACAAATGTTCCCTAAACATGTCCAAGACAAGCAGTGACTTACTTCCCCTGATGTCACCTGGTCTTGTAGTGAAGGATCAAAACCGAGGATGCACATGCTCTGCACGCGCTACCCGTGTCCTGCACGTGCACTGCCCGCACAACCTGTCTTGTGAGGAGCACATGGTTCATACTGACAATTAATCACATTCTTCATTCTTGACAGCGATCCTTCATAGCCTAGTGGATAAAACCATCAAGCTAGTAAGTGAAGGGTTGCAGGTTCAAATCCAGGCATCGGCACAATATATTGGAAGGTTTCAATAGAGAGATATTTTACAAACAAATATTCAGTAATAGCAAGACAAAAGTACATCAATCTTCAAAACTTGAACAAGTAAAATAATTAAATTACTCAGAAAGTCCTTGGGCAATTCTGAAGAAAATCCCTGGGATTTCTTGGAAAATGCCTGCGGTACTGCCTTTACTCAGTAAAAGGAGAAGCTGGCAGACAATAGTAATGTCACTGGAGGTTTATAAGCCCAAATATCTTCCACCCAGCGATTTACTAGCATCTCATCTCATCTCATCAATTGGGATGCACCGCCATGATAACACTCAATGGAAATTAGTCCTTTGGCATAGTCTTCCGTTGAAAATAATTATAGGCTTGAGTTTGGTTCCGTCTGCCATGCAGGCAAGCACCACAGTAAAATGCTTTTCATTTCCCATTGTTTTCTTGGATACTGTCTTCGATCCTTTGATATCCACAGTGTTAGATCCGAGCATGTCGAAACTTCAGGGTCTTTTGTCCATATTGCCACTTTGTCATAGTTTGTAGTTGAGGGATTTGTGTTTCTTTATCACAAAGGTGTCCACTTTTGTGTTTACTTGTTCCAGGAGCTTCTGTGTGATATGTGTATTCTCTCTAAGGGCGAGAATCCTCCTATCCATAAAGCGTGCTCTCCAAGTGGACGAAGCTTTAAACGATGAGGGTCCCTGAATTTTTCCTTCTTGACCTTGTAGAGGTCAGAGTTCAATGGTGGATGATGTTTGTCTTTTTTCCAAAACCTATTTTGGCAATGACGTCTTTAGGTTTGACATATGGTCATAAAGTAAATCGCCTTGATATTTTGCCCTTGGGCATTTCCATCAGGGATGTGTTCTCCTTCCTCCAGTTTTGAACCTGCATCTCGTTGACGTCAAACTCTCTTGCATCAGCACTGGTGTATGCTGGACATAAGCTGACCCCCTCCTACAGACTGCCTCTTTTGGTCCTTAAAATTTGGCTTATTTACGGTCATATATGGTACCTTCTTCTGACTTTGGGCTCTCTGTTGAGCTAATTCCCCACCACGATCAGTATGCCAGTTAGAAGGACAGTACCATTGTTGTAAATATAGTGATGAATCAACACATGAGTCCTGATTCTGTGTGAGGATACATATGGAGCGATTGAGTGAGTTTAGTTTTACGCTGCACTCAGCAATATTCCAGCTATATGATCTGTAAATAATCCGATCTGGACTAGACAATCCAGTGATCAACAGCATGAGCATTGATCTACGCATTTGGGATACAATGACATGTGTCAACCAAGTCAGTGAGCCTGACCATCTGATCGTTTAGTCACCCCTTACGACAAGCATGGGTTACTGAAGATCAATTCTAACCTGGATCTTCACGGGTCTGATACATATGGAACACTTCAAATCACAAGAACATATGTATATCAAATGATGTGTAACTCAGTCTTCAGTATTTACTACAACCCCGCAAATAATATTCATGACACAAGAATTGTTTTGCACAGGAAAGGATGCTACCATGCTTCCTGACTACACAAACCTCCCCAGTGACGACACCAAACACCATCAACACTCACTGCAGAGCCAGACTGGACCTCTCCAGTTGCTGTTCCCACCGAACATGTCAGAGTTGGACTCCCCTGGGTTGTATCGGACTGTGTAGGCTGAGGTGTCAGGCTCCAGCACCAGGCTGTATGGCTCTCTCTCGTAGACCTGTCCACAAACAGATTGGTCTGGAGACAAACAGTTCGAACTTCGCAGAAAACCGAGGAGCATGACTTTTTCCATGTGGTCAGACCATGTGTTGCTGACCACATGGGAAATTATCAAATCGGTCGCACGTGAGTTTAGACGTCACTTGAGTTCTGGTTTTGCTTGGGATAAGGTCTGACTTGAGTTTAGACGTCACTTGAGTTCTGGTTTTGCTTGGGATAAGGTCTGACTTGAGTTTAGATGTCACTTGAGTTCTGGTTTTGCTTGGGATAAGGTCTGACTTGAGTTTAGACGTCACTTGAGTTCTGGTTTTGCTTGGGATAAGGTCTGACTTGAGTTTAAAAACACACATTTGATGTATTTGAATCCGAAACTAAGCAACCCCACCTTGCCATTGCTAGAAAAATCTGAAAATTTACTTAGGTAAATAGTTATATACAGCAAATGCGTATATGCATTTCTTATACAACAATGCAGTTCCGTTCGCATCATCCTAACTGTCGGCCTATAAGCTTTTGTCAGGCAATCAAAACTGCATGCAATACAGCGATTAATATTCCCTTTCTGTAACCCGTGTTTGCACAGGGAATTTGTCAAAAGGTAGTGTTTATGTATGTAGATTTACTAATCTATACTGAATACGCCCTGTCGTAAAGTGCCTGTGTGAAAACAACGTCCTTCCTTCAAAGTATTAACCGCCAATGCATTGATTGATTGCTCATTATTGGCTAACTAAATTACTTTGTTAAAGAATGGCGAACATCATGCAATTAGTTGCCAGGTGTGCTATCTTGGGTGACCAATCAGACTCTACACCAATGTGAAAAACCTGAAACCATATATCACTTTTTCGCATATTAGACTGTTACAATACACATGACATGGAGCAGGATTCTTTATCAGCTGAATGTGAATGGCATGTCGTTCCTTTATGTGGATATTGATGGATACATTCCTCGGATAAGGTAGGATAGCCTGACATTTTTGCTGTAACTTTAGTCGGTTTTGAATTTTTTCGCCGTGAAGTGTAATGAGGCAAACAACATCCACTAGGTCGTACTTGGGGCGTGTGTGTGAAATAATACATAATTGACGTTGGCAATCTATAAAATGTCTAGATACTACAATCATGTTATAAATTCACAATGAGTATAAGCAGATCGTGTGCATTTTATTAGGTTTCAAATGCATACAAATATAATAATAAACTATTTAGGATTATAAGACAAAATATAAAGACGCACATTGACTTCGTTATTTTTCAGTCCTAACACTTTTCACTACTGGCAGATGGTTAAACTGCAAAATGTTTTCATTTGTTATCATAATAATCAAGATGGAAATATTATCGAGTAAAAAAATTTTTCTTTTTGTTGATCAATCTATACCTATAGGACTATTAATTACGCATGCGCAGCAGAGGTCACGAACCAGTCAAGAATTATGGGATATCATTCAGGTACTCATGGGAGAAAAACAATAACAGAAGCAACAACGAGTCCACAGAAATTGCACTGGATCAGTGCCCCTTTAAGGCTCTATATCATTTTATTTACCTGTAAACCATTGGCATACAGCCATACACAATGGGGACGGGGAGCCTGAAAGTATGGTGTGACAGCAACCAAGAAGATGATGTCGCACACAGAGAGCAATTATGAATTTATGAATTTATCTCTTAAATTATTGCAATATATCGCAATATGAGAATCAGGGCAATGTCCAGACCTGCTGAGTACAGTTCTGTGTGTTTAAAGGGGGAGTCTATTGTGGTCAATACAACAAACCTTTGCTAATGAGCGGACACCAAATGGAGACAGAAACAGGTCAGGATCACAGACAGCTTGTAGGATGTGCTGCAGCCGAGACTTGGGGACGAGGGACAGATAGTACCTGTTGTCCTCCATCTTATATACCTGCAGCAGACGGACACACCAAGGTGGGATTCACTAAAAGTTGGATCAGGGTAACAAATGGATAATATAAAAAAGATTACGGATTATTAAAATGAAACTGCATTTCTGGCCAATTTATATCAACTTCTTTGAGTGACATTTTAGAAGTTGGGACATGCAATATTGAACAAACTTTATGACAACTTGTTTTGTTACGTGAATGCAACATCACAATACAGATTCTTGTACCAATGTCAAATATAGTTATGTCAAGCATCCAAATGCAGCCACTGTGGACCAAACATTTGCATGTAAAATGGAACTGTTAAAGAAAAACTTGCTTGCCGTTCTTTCATGTTTTGTTTAATTTGTTTGTTGATAGCTTTTGGGGCCTATGAGAAGGATCAGCCTACCCCTCTGGTCTCATTAGCCACTTTAGTTTGATGACACAGAGACGCAAACCCTAGTTTAGCCCAATTTGCATTTTGGCAAAAAACTGATGCAAAAATTATTATTTTGTGGCCAAAATTAGTAGTAACTTTTCCAAAATATTTTCATATTAAATAAAATATGTAAACATATTGTCCAAGACCTTGACATTGTACTCACCTAAATCAGTAGTAAGTATGCATATATAGCTTGGTACCTGAATAAAATGTGGTTGAAATTTATTGTGTATGGTATGTATGCTATTTGATAATTTAATCGAATGTATTTTTAAAAAAAATTTGAACATTTTTACTGCTATAGTTGTCGCGTATTTTGTGTTGTTTTTTCGTAATGAATACCATAAAATCGTATGGGTTGGCATCTCTGGATGACAGTGTACGAATCTATACACAAAGAAGTTAATTAAGCACCCCCTGTATTTTTGCAATGGGAGGTTTTCAACTCGTACATAAATCTTCTCGTGAGACCACGATGGAAAAACAAGACTTTTTCTGACCCGTATGTTCCTTTGGCTCATAACAAACAACGAAATAATTGGAATCCATGTTAATTTTATGATGATAATTGCTCATTTTTGAAAAAAAACCACCACTGATTTTCATGCAAAACCATGTCTGTACAAGTATGACCTTGGAATGTTTAATGTTGAATTTATTGGTGAATGTGAACATTCAAAATGTCATTTTGGGTGTCTTACACGATTCAAGGTCAACACCAAGTGTAACCTCCATGTGACTGTATCACAGCCAGCACTCTCCTCCTCATACCCCCTGTCAGCCTCCTGATCCTCTAAAGGAGCAGTCTACGCCATGCCTTATGTAAAGCAGCTTCCATTTGGACCAGGTTCTGTACAGGAGGATCCCTTTGTAGCACAAGACGACCAATCATGTCCCAGATATGCTCTAAAGGGTTAAGATCGGGCTCTCATTCAATCGTGATATATGTCAGGGGGTGCTTAACTAAATTCTCTGTGCATATATTGCTCCATGCAAAAAACAAGAAGTTGTCAACCATAAAGTTGCATGCTTTACTATTTACTCACCAACTCGTAAAATGCTGATCAAACAATTACTGCCTTAGCGTCTTACACAAAGTATTACAAGTTAGGATATCTCACGTGCTCCTTTTCCTTGGCGGTACATTTCTCCAGCCTCTCTGCAACAGCTGCAGCAGCAGCAGGAACGTCGATGACAGCAGCAGCAAACAGAGACACCAGACCCACGAGTGACTTGAGCCGTATGGGGATCAGCTCTGTCTCATGTTGCAGGACATCATAGTAGAACTGATCTCCGGGATGCCACAAGCCTGGAATAACACAAAAGAATTTACTGGAATACATGTTTGTTTGTTTGTAGCTTGGACATTAGACTAATGCTTAGTCTATGAAAATATATTTGATAGAAACAAAGAACTCCATTTAAACTGAAAAGGACATTGAGTGAGATTTAGTCTTTAACCTGAGAAAAATCTAGACTTGCTTCATTTAGAGCTACTGAATAACAGTAGGGGTACATTGAATGGAAAATAACATGTTTGTTTGTTTGTTTGTTTGTTTGTTCAATACTGCACTCAGCTTTATGACAGTGGTCTGTAAATAATCGAGTCAGGACCAGACCATCCAGGGATCAACAGCAAGAGCCCATACCCATGTGGGGAATCGAACCTGGGTCTTCGGCATGACGAGCGAACACTTTAACTGCTAGGCTACCATGCCGCCCCCATGGCAGAACCGTGTTGTATTTGTGTGACATTGTTTCTGTAAAGATTCAGCTGTGGGCAGTAGTGTGTGTGTTAGTATATTTAGACAGGAAGACAGGACTGGTGTGGAAATTACTCTCACATCACCAGTCATCTTGTCATTTCATACGTCAACTACCGTATATTGCGTAGATAAGCCGACCCCCTAACTTGGCCCTTCAAATCAGTATTAAAATGATATGGTTCGTACATAAGCCAACCCCCGTGATGGGGTCATAGTTGCGGCCAACTTAGACCAGAACACAACTGGCAGTTACTGATAATTATAACTTCAGTTCGCAATAATCACAGCAATCTCTGTCATATTGGGTCTACTCATGCCTCGAAATGAAGGTTACTTGACAGAAAATGGATACGTATATATTTTGTTTTGTTAAAAGTCATATTTATTGTGGCTAGACAATCACGTCAACAAATTGTTTTCACAGTGGAAATAGTGAGATCGCGAGAAACCACATCGGTGACAGGTCAAATTGTTCCAAACATAAAGTGAAAAAGTCAGTAAGCCAAACTTCTCAAGTGGCCTCCACCCTAACTGATGCCTTGTGTTCATCACTGTTAATCTGATCATGCAACACACAGTCAGTAGGACTGATTTCATCTGTGTCACTAACTCTACAAAGTCAGCAGTTACAATATAACACCAACACTGTTACCTCCATCATCAACGCTGCGATTCATCTGCACTGCGATGTGTAGGAAGATATCTAAGAAGTGTTTTGATTGGTGGAAACAGCTCGGTTGACTGACTCCCACGTGGAGAGATATGTCAGCCATGTTGAGAGCGGCGAGTGCCACCCATGCTGACCCATCAGCCTGAAAAGTAACAGCAAACATTAATAATGATGTACGCTGGGCAGGTGTGGTCACATGGGTTTGATATTTTGTTCAAAATTGATGCCCATATATTGTGATGTTCATGTACATATTGTTTTGCTTAATTTTGTGTTTGTTTTGTTTTTGTGTGTGTGCACGTGTGTAAGTGTGTGCATGTGCTCCTGTGTTTAGAGTGTCTGTGTGTGTATATCTTTGTGCATCTGTCTGTTTCCTTGTGTGTGTGCCTGTGTTCTGTGTGTGTACATCTGTGTCTCCTTGTGTGTGTACATCTGTGTACACGTGTGTGTGCCCGTGTCTGTGTTCTCCTGTGTGTATATCATTGTGTCTGTGTGTCTCTCTGTGTGTGTACATATCGTGTGTGTCTCTCTGTGTTGCTGTGCACGTCTGTGAGTGTGTGTCTCTGTGTCGCTGTGCACATCTGTGAGTGTGTGTCTCTGTGTGTCGCTGTGCACATCTGTGAGTGTGTGTCTCTCTGTGAGTGTGTGTCTCTCTGTGTGTACATATCGTGTGTGTGTCTCTCTCCCTGTCGCTGTGCATATCTGTGCTTGAATGTCGCTGTGTGTCGCTGTGCACGTCTGTGAGTATGTGTCTCTCTGTGTTGCTGTGCACGTCTGAGAGTGTGTCTCTCTCTGTGTTGCTGTGCACGTCTGTGAGTGTGTGTCTCTGTGTTGCTGTGCACGTCTGTGAGTGTGTTTCTCTGTGTGGTGCTGTGCACATCTGTGAGTGTGTCTCTCTGTGTCTGTGTGTCTCTCTGTGTGTACAAATCGTGTGTGTGTGTCTCTCTCTGTCGCTGTGCATGTCTGTGCTCTTGTCTCTGTGTGTCGCTGTGCACATCTGTGAGTGTCTCTGTGTGTCGCTGTGCACGTCTGTGAGTGTGTGTCTGTGTGTCGCTATGCACGTCTGTGAGAGTGTGTCTCTGTGTGTCGCTATGCACGTCTGTGAGTGTGTCTGTGTGTGACTGTGCACGTCTGTGAGTGTGTGTCTCTCTGTTGCTGTGCACGTCTGTGAGTGTGTGTCTCTGTGTCACTATGCACATCTGTGAGTGTGTTTCTCTGTGTGTCATTGTGCATGTCTGTGAGTGTGTCTCTGTGTGTCGCTGTGCACATCTGTGAATGTGTGTCTCTGTGTGTCGCTGTGCACGTCTGTGTGTGTGTGTCTCTCTGTGTCGCTGTGCATGTCTGTGAGTGTGTTTCTGTGTGTCGTTGTGCATGTCTGTGAGTGTGTCTCTGTGTGTTGCTGCGCACATCTGTGAGTGTGTGTTTCTCTTTGTCGCTGTGAACGTCTGTGAGTGTGTGTCTCTCTGTGTCACTATGCACATCTGTGAGTGTGTTTCTCTGTGTGTCGTTGTGCATGTCTGTGAGTGTGTCTCTGTGCACATCTGTGAGTGTGTGTCTCTGTGTGTCGCTGTGAACGTCTGTGAATGTGTGTCTCCGTGTGTCGCTGTGCACATCTGTGAGTGTGTGTCTCTCGGTGTACATCTGTGAGTTTGTGGTTGTTGGTACAAGTCTAATACCAGATCTACAGCACTATCCCACTATCATCAGCCTCAGCTTCAACATGACTACCCCACTTACACACAGCACATTGGCTCCATGTAGGCCAGTTGTTGTCCCTGCCAAAGTGCCAGGTAGTGTAACACCAAGACCCTTCCCTCTGATTACTTCGCTGAACATGGCCAGATGATCAGACCATCAACACTGGTGATGTTACATGTTTCAACGTTAATCAAAACCAATAATTTTCAGTATAGCAGAGATACATTATTACACAACCAATTTATGAAAGTATTCCACTCAAGGAAGTAAACACAGTGATAGAATACAGGTTCTTGTGGGAGAAAGATCAAGCAGTTTACCTGTACTTCATATATTATGGTCCAGACACATGCATTAGGCATTGATGGGCATTTATACATTTGAGAAATGTGGAGATTGTCCCTTGGGTTTGGTTTCAAAATGTCATCACTCAAGTCGGAGATGAATTCCCATTTGACTGACTTTAGTTATCTCTTCAGTGCTCAGGGCCTCGTTCCTCAAAGCGATGGTAGCGCTAAGATGATCATAACCCCCATACTTTAACATAGACTTACGACTGTCGATCACTTTGAGGAACGTGGCCCTGGTCTTTCTCTTGTCTGATGTCATCACACTCACTGTACCCCCTGAACCTCCCTCACCTGCGTCAGCGTGTACCCAGGGGGTGTGTTGGACCTGTCAATCACACTGATGTTGTCCAAGCCCAAGAAGCCACCGCCTGTGTAGAGGTTGTCTGGGCTGAGACGGCCCACCCACCTGTAGGATAACAAGCATCACTAGACACAAGAGCTTCATCAACACATAGTGGTAGGTCTGAGATGGCCCACCCACCTGTAGGATAACAAGCATCACTAGACACAAGGGCTTCATCAACACATAGTGGTAGGTCTGAGATGGCCCACCTACCTGTAGGATAACAAGCATCACTAGACACAAGGGCTTCATCAACATATAGTGGTATGTCTGAGATAGCCCACCCACCTGTAGGATAACAAGCATCACTAGACACAAGAGCTTCATCAACATATAGTGGTATGTCTGAGATGGCCCACCCACCTGTAGGATAACAAGCATCACTAGACACAACAGATTCATCAACATATAGTGGTATGACTGAGATGGCCCACCTACCTGTAGGATAACAAGCATCACTAGACACAAGAGCTTCATCAACATATAGTGGTATGTCTGAGATGGCCCACCCACCTGTAGGATAACAAGCATCACTAGACACAAGGGCTTCATCAACATATAGTGGTATGACTGAGACAGCCCACCCACCTGTAGGATAACAAGCATCACTAGACACAAGGGCTTCATCAACACATAGTGGTATGTCTGAGATGGCCCACCCACCTGTAGGATAACAAGCATCACTAGACACAAGGGATTCATCAACACATAGTGGTATGTCTGAGATGGCCCACCCACCTGTAGGATAACAAGCATCACTAGACACAAGGGATTCATCAACACATAGTGGTATGTCTGAGATGGCCCACCCACATGTAGGATAACAAGCATCACAAATAGACACAAAGGGATTCATCAACATATAGTGGTATGTCTGAGATGGCCCACCCACAACATGTAGGATAACAAGCATCACTAGACACAAGGGCTTCATCAACACATAGTGGTATGTCTGAGATGGCCCACCCACCTGTAGGATAACAAGCATCACTAGACACAAGGGATTCATCAACATATAGTGGTATGTCTGAGATGGCCCACCCACATGTAGGATAACAAGCATCACTAGACACAAGGGATTCATCAACATATAGTGGTATGTCTGAGATGGCCCACCCACATGTAGGATAACAAGCATCACTAGACACAAGGGATTCATCAACATATAGTGGTATGTCTGAGATGGCCCACCCACATGTAGGATAACAAGCATCACTAGACACAAGAGCTTCATCAACATATAGTGGTATGTCTGAGATGGCCCACCCACATGCAGGATAACAAGCATCACTAGACACAAGGGCCCACCCACATGCAGGATTCATCAACACATATAGTGGTGCGTCTGAGATGGCCCACCCACATGCAGGATAACAAGCATCACTAGACACAAGAGCTTCATCAACATATAGTGGTATGTCTGAGATGGCCCACCCACATGCAGGATAACAAGCATCACTAGACACAAGAGCTTCATCAACATATAGTGGTATGTCTGAGATGGCCCACCTACACATGTCACTAGACACAAGGATAACAAGCATCACTAGACACACAGGGGTTTCTTCATCAGACACCCACCTGCAGGATAGTGGTATGTGGTATTTCTGAGATGGCCCACCCACATGCAGGATAACAAGCATCACTAGACACAAGGGATTCATCAACATATAGTGGTATGTCTGAGATGGCCCACCCACATGTGGATAACAAGCATCACTAGACACAAGGGATTCATCAACATATAGAGGTATGTCTGAGATGGCTTCACCCACATGTAGGATAACAAGCATCACTAGACACAAGAGATCAACATATAGTGGTATGTCTGAGATGGCCCACCCACATGTAGGATAACAAGCATCACTAGACACAAGGGCTTCATCAACATATAGTGGTATGACTGAGATGGCCCACCCACATGTGGGATAACAAGCATCACTAGACACAAGGGATTCATCAACATATAGTGGTATATGGCCCACTGAGATGGCCCACCCACCTGCAGGATAACAAGCATCACTAGACACAAGAGATTCATCAACATATAGTGGTATGTCTGAGATGGCCCACCCACATGCAGGATAACAAGCATCACTAGACACAAGGGATTCATCAACACACAAGAGGTTCATGTACTGAGATGGCCCACCCACATGTAGGATAACAAGCATCACTAGACACAAGAGCTTCATCAACATATAGTGGTATGTCTGAGATGGCCCACCCACATGTAGGATAACAAGCATCACTAGACACAAGGGATTCATCAACATAAAGTGGTATGTCTGAGATGGCCCACCCACATGTAGGATAACAAGCATCACTAGACACAAACATATAGGGTATTCATCAACACAAAGTGGTATGTACAGTGAGAGATGGCCCACCCACATGTAGGATAACAAGCATCACTAGACACATGGTTTTCTTCAACACATAGTGGTGGATAACAAGCATCACTAGACACATGGGTTTCTTCAGATAGTGGTACGTGAGAGATACTGTTTCCTTAACTGGAAACATCACATACAGGCTATAAACTTGAAAATAAATAACTGGCAACTTGTTTAGGAATAACCTACAAGAAACAAGGAATTACAGATGATATGTGCAATGTGAATTAATAAGGAGCAGAGGGCACCCCTCCACCCATGTGCCTCACTCTCTCTCCTCATATACTGAGCCCAACATTTGAATTTACAGGGAAATCCAAAGTGTTATGTGGGGAGGATGGGAGGAAGTTACCTCATGAGTCAGGATAAATTGTAAAATATCAATTTTACTCTAAAATTACATATTTTTCCTTATCCTGACTCATGCTCTTTTACTTGTAGACTCGACGTGAGGAAGGGGAGGTGGGAAATATATATAATACTTTGGATTTTAATAATTAGTGATTTGAACTGTGATGATTGTAATAACCCTATGGGAACTTCATAAAGGTACTGAACTGATGAATTCCTGCTGCCCCCAACTTATCAGCTGCCATATAAAGGTTATTACAAAGTACTTATTATGATAAAGTATATATAACATTAATACAATGCTTAAGACTAATAGACTTAAGTTTGTTAATATGCTAGTATAAACTCCTTAGAGTTTGTTAGCTAAAATACTTTTAAGATATAAACATAGTACTAAGCTTAAGATATGATTAAACTTAAGCCCTAATTATATAATAGCAAAACTCTTTAGAGTTTGTTAGTTAATATACTTATATGATATAGATATAATGCTGAGCTTTAGATATGAATAAGCTTTAGCTGTTACATATATAATAGCAAAACTCTGTGTAGAAGTTTGTTAGCTAATATATTTTTTACAATATGAGTATAGTACTGTGCTTAAGATATAATTAACTTAAGCTACATATATAATAGCCAAAACTCTGTAGAGTTTATTAGCTTATAGATTAATAATGTAACCATAGTACTAAGCTTAAGATAAGATTAGACTTAAGCTAAATGTATATAGCAAAAAACTCCTTAGAGTTTATTAACTAATATACTTTTATGTTATAACCATAGTACTGAGAGCTTAAGATATAATTAAACTTAAGCTATATATATATGTAAAACTCCGTGGAGTTTTTGTTAGCTAATACATTTTATAATGTAACCATACTGCTTAAGATATGATGAAACTTAAGCTAATTGTATAATAGCAAAAACCCTTTAGAGTTTGTTAGCTAAAATACTTATATGATATAAACCTAGTATTGAGTTTATGAAGGAAAACTTAAGCTACATATATAATAGCAAAAACTCTGTAGAGTTTGTTAGCTAATATACTTATATGATATAAACATAGTATTGAGCTTTGAAGGAAACTTTTAAGCTACATATATAATAGCAAAAACTCAGTAGAGTTTGTTAGCTAATATACTTATATGATATAAACATAGTATTGAGCTTAAGATTTGAAGGAAACTTAAGCTACATATATAATAGCAAAAAACTCCGTGGGGTTTGTTAGCTAATACAAGTTATAATGTAACCATAAAGCTTAAATTATGATGAAACTTAAGCCAAATATATATAGCAAAAAACTCTTTTAGAGTTTTGATAGCTAAAATACCTATATGATATAAACATAGTACTGCTTAAGATATGAATAAGCTTAAGTTACATATAGCAAAAAACTCAGTAGAGTTTGTTAGCTAATATGTTATAATGTAACCATATTGCTTAAGATATGATGAGACTTAAGCCAAATAGCAAAACTCTTTAGAGTTTGTTAGCTAATATACTTATATGATATAAACATAGTACTGAGCTTAAGATATGAATAAGCTTAAGCTACCTATATAAAAGCCCAAACTCTGTAGGTTTGTTAGCTATATTTTACAATCTGAGTATAGTACTATGCTTAAGATATAATTAAGTTAAGGTAAATATATAATAACCAACTCTGTAGAGTTGTTAACTTATATATTGTATGATGTAATAATCATAGTACTGTGATGATAAAAGAACTTAAGCAAATTATATATAGCATGTAGCTATTTAGTACTGTTATAAGATAAGTAGAAATCTGTAAGATTGACTTATCTTCTCCCGAGAAACTGTCAACTGTAGTCACGAGGACCATGGGATCGAATTGGTGGATACCTGAGGCGTCCTCGGTGATGATATCTCTCAGATAATGGTTGGCAACCACCATATCGGATCTCCAGAAAATAAACCCTCCATTATTTCAAATAACATTGTGTAGATCAATGCAGAAGTTAAGCGCTCTAATATCATGAGTATTAAAAGCTCATGGAGGGTCGGATTGGGTCCATCCGGTCTTGTATGCACGTGGTATGACAGTTCTGATCCAAACTTGAGATATAGTGCATGAGATTTCATTCTGCGTAAGTTGATGATAGAGGAAATAATCTGTTGTATTACTCCCTTCTGTTTGGTTCGGTGGAGATAAATTTACAGTGCTCTTTGCTGGCAGCATCCGTGATAGAATCATCGTGATCATGAAGTCCAAGCATGTCATCCAGGCGTGTTCATAAACCTCACTTGTGAGGTGTTGAGCACTATATTCAGATCCTCAAGTTGGAGGTGAAACTTCCGTTTTAATTCTTCAATCAGAAAGTTTAAGTAGGTTTACTAACCATCTAGTTGTGTTAGTAGCGATTATGAAAATTCAGCTGTAGTCTGAGGCGCTGTGGATTTAGATCCACTTGTATCCCGTTGTCTAGGTTATTAAGCTGCGAAGTCCTTGGCGATGTAGGTGCACAACCAGGTGTGTCTGTCCTCGTTGAAGTTTATGTAAAAATTGCTTGACTGCCGTGCCTCGTCCTAACTTGACGGGAGGTCTCTCTAACCTGAAAGCAGCAGCAATCATGAAGGTTCAGATTAACTGGACTGTAAGGAGGCTTGCTCGTTCACTGAAATATAGTTGTCACTTATAGCGTAAAGTGTTGACCTGTGAAATGAAGATCGACCTCGTGGAGTGGGTCGTTGTCCAGCAGCGGTCCAATCAGAACAAGGCATTTTGATTCTGTAGAATACCAGCGCTGTGATGTCACCCCGGTCAGTGGCAGGAAAAAACCTTGTATAAAATCTTGCGTCGTTGATATTAGCATAATCGATCGGGTCTTCACCGTAACTTCCGAAGGTTATCCGGTGACCCGTGTTTTCGAGGTTAAAGGTATTATGGCGAAACCTCGGTAGCGAAAAACCGGCTCTCTGTAATATTAATGCTGGGTAGGTTATTTTCCTGGCTGTCGTGAAAGTAACTTCAGTTTTGAATATAATTCGACTTTCTTATATAAAAGGTACAATAAACTTGCAAAGTTGTCAGCTTGTAGACTGTATACATGAATGTATGCGTCATAATTGTAGAATTAAAGCTGAACTTGTTGTACATATTTCTTCTCAGAAACTTTGGCGATTATGAGTTATACTGGCTGTAACAAGGCTGCTGTTCAATTTCGATATTGAATTGTCTGCAGATCTGCGTAATGGTCACGCATGTAGATACTGATATCGTAGTCGGATTGCATATTCTAGCAATCTATACACGGAAAGGTTGATTTCTGTGAAGATCTATGCAACGCTCGTTGATTAATTAATATAGCGGCGTTTGTGTTGTAAATAGCCTGTGCAATTGTCTTGGCGTGGAAGCTTATAGAAGCGACATATGGCATACAGTTGATAGACAACTTATGTCGATGTGTTGAAACGGACTGACGAGTAGCTATATATGGCGCAGTGGCTAATATATGGAGACGGGAGGAGAATTCCTCGGTGGGCCGGAGGATTTCGGGCTAAATCTCAGTATCAATCTAGATTTCCTGTATGAGGTAGACTTGGAGCCACTTAGCCTTAGACGGACCTTCGAAGGTATTGAGTCAGAGCCCGATCAGTATATATATATATATATGGCTTGCCCATGAGCGACCTCTGTGTTCAACAGGAGTGAGTGAGTGGCTGCATTGTTCGCCCGCTGGTGGCGTAACTGGTGAGGAGCTCTAGCTCCTTGGTGGAGGTGGCCTGGGACTTCCTAAGTGAAGTGTCTAGAAATCGATCAATATATGGCGTTAGCTTCATACAGGGTGTGGTTCTTGCTGGTTCTGCATAAGTAGAGCGAGTAGATCATCCTATCATCTTCAGAAGTGGGTGTCACGAAATCTGGTGATAAGAATCTCATTGATCGTTCTAGATCTATTAATGCCAACAACATGCATACTCTGGCGTTTTGAACTGTTATGGCTTTATGGTAGGCTGTATGTCCACATACTGTAGCACCCGCCAGCAATCGAGTCGCATTGGAGGTAAGGTGATGGCGTCTGCCTGCGTCTTCCTTTATCAGGTATGTCTATGCTCGAGTTGCCACTCTTGGAAGGTGAAGAGAGATCTAGGTTGTTTACCATCCAATATCGTATCTCAGCGTCTGAAAATGATGCCTCCATCCTTTTCTATCCCAGCATCACTGATGAGAGGTTGATGCTCTTCTGATGGTGGACTGTGTATTTCTATCTCTATGTCCGGTGGCCTTCGGGGAGACCTGACTGTAGACTTATTGCAGACTTGTGTGGTGACCTGTGAAGAGCGATGAAGCGTGGTGATGGCCTGAGGAGATGCGCACGCGGTTCTGTGGCCTGCGGAGATCGTGTTGGTGAACTGCATCTGTCGATTTGACCTTCGGGAGACCTGTGAGAATGTTGTTGATAGCTTGTGAAGCTCTCGTGTAGTCAGGTGTCCTTTCGAAGGCCTTGAAAGCACTTCCTCTCGCGTCCGGTCCTGGGGAGCGGCGATTTGACGCTCAGCGAAGGCTTCCGTGAGGTCTGCCGGTCTGAGTCGCATCTAGGGATGAAGCCGAGGAATGTGATGATCTATCCGCCAGGCGAAGGCCTTCGCGAGCTGTACATCTGGGTCCTTCGTGGAGGTGGTCTGCGACTTTCCTTAGCGAAGGTGGCTAAATCACGTGGCTGCTACGCCTGGATGGGGGTGCCTCTGGGGTGTGGAGGTCTGCGTTGGAACCTTCGCGAAGCTCGGGCCTTGAAATGCTGCTTCCCAGTCTGTGGTGGCCCTCCATCATGATCATGATTTGCCGCAACAGTTCATCTGGGATGGTCTCGCGACAATTAGTCGGTGCCCTCTCGAGCGATGTTAGCGGGACCCTCCCAGGGAGAGTTAGATCTGGCGTCAGTGTAGAGACATCAGGCTGCATATGGCGATCTCTGCTGATGTCACTGTAGCTGTCTCCGGTAAGCTTCTTGTATGCGTCGTCGGGAAGATGATGATCAGCTGATCATCGTGAGTAGGCCCAGTTCGCGCTGGGGCAATCTCGGTTGAGAAAGTCCTTAGTAGACTTCGTTGATTTCCCCCTCAGAGGTCCGCAGCTGCCCTGGGGGTCGCGAAGTCTGGGTTGAGTGTTAGTAGCGGCGGGACCCTCAGGAAGATCATCATAGAATATCAGCGTTGGTACATCAGGCTGTATGTTGATCTGCTGACATCACTGTTGCCGACATCGGTCATTCTTTTGATGTACATCAGGTATGATGATAGCCTGATCATCATACAGGCCCAAATCTGCGTGAGGAACAATCTCGGCATGAGAAAGTTCAAGTAGACTTCGTTGATTTCCCCTCAGAGGTCGGCGTTGAGATGCAGTAGAAAACTCTAGTCTTGACTCTTTGACGATGGGATGTCTGGGAAACAGGACACTTCTTGGGCGTTCGACTACCGCGCCGCTCTCCACCACTCTAGCGGAACACCAGGCGGGGCTGAGAGTCGACCAACAGCAGATAGACTGGCGAGGGGTTCAGGTGTATCAGTCATGGCTAGACTCTGCATCGCGACCTATCTCTGCTGCGGCGTCTCAAGCGCCAAAATGAGTATTTATTAAAGGCAGAAATGGATAAATTAGTACCCGCCAACTGCAATCGTGAATAAAATGAACATGGCGCAGTACAACTAGGGCATATTAAATCATGGATCAGCAGCAGAATAAAAACGCGTAATCTGCAACAAGAACAGAATTTTATCAAAAGCGTAATCCACTGAAACAAACACGAGTCCCGCGTGAATAAACAGTAGAAACCGCGACTAAATATCAATATATAATTGTTGAAGGATACTAGCTAAACCTCTATAGATGTCTATCACGGGGTAACTAACTAAATATAATCAAAGGATATAGTGTGTCGGGAGACACTAAGGTGCTCTCCGACGCCCAGCTCACTGGTGAAGAAGAAGGAGGAGTGAGGCACATGGGTGGAGGTGAAGCCCTCGTTCCAGCTTGTGGAAGGAGGAGAGTAACTTCGTGCTGAGTACTAATTAGTGATTTTTACATTGAAGGGAGCTTCAATTAGGGAGATACAAGTGTTCCACTATGTTACATGGCAAGAAGAAGAAGACAAGCAAAAAGAGGCATGAGTCAGGATAAGGAAAAAGAATTTTTTTACATAATATTTTTAGTTTTTTAGTCTTGGTGAGGATGGTTGTTTTAACACACATTCCAGAGTGCGTGACAATTTCGACTGACTGACCGACTGACTGAGTTTCGTTTTACGCCGTTTTTAGCAATATTTCAGCAACATCACGGCTGGGGACACCAGAAATGGAGCTTCACACAATGTACCCATGTGGGGAGACTCGAACCGGTCTTCGTGGCATTGTGAACTCTTTAACCACTAGGCTATCCTTCGCCCATTACAATTTCGGAGGAGGGCCATCGTAGAGTAGGTCATTCTTTATAATACCCACAGTGTATTTTCCAAGAATATGTAGAAAAATGTAGGTTCCTAACTGGAGGCTATAGCTCAGCTCTTCTATTTGTTGACACAATGTCACATTATGTCATCATTACGTCGTGGACAATGAGTGAGTGAGTTTGGTTTTACGTCGCATTTAGCAATATTCCAGCAATATTACGGCAGGGGACACCAGAAATGGGCTTCACACATTGTACCCATGTGGGGAATCGAACCCAGGTCTTTGGTGTGACGAGCGGACGCTTTAACCACTAGGCTACCCAACCACTATTTCATGAACAATGAAAGACATCGACTTCAATTTATTTGAAACCAATAAGAAATATGGAACAATTGTTACGAAGCTCATTATTACTAAAAATTATTCCATCTATAACGCACCCATGTTATAATGCCACCCTGGGTATAATGCCATGTTTTTTCCAGATTTCCTGCCCTTATAATACCCTGGTTATAATGCCAAGGAGTGAGTGAGTGAGTTTAGTTTTACGCCACTTATAGCAATATTCCAGCAATATCACAGCGGGGACACCAGAAATGAGCTTCACACACTGTACCCATGTGAGAAATCGATCCTGACTGACTGACTGTTTGGTTTTACGCCGCTTTTAGCAATATTCCAGCAATATCACGTCGGGAGACACCAGAAATGGGTTTCAGACATTGTACCCATGTGAGAAATCGATCCCGGTCTTCGGCGTGATGAGTGAACACTTTAACCACTAGGCTACCCCACCGCCCTAAGGATACATGGAGAATCATTGGCTGACAGTGTCAGTGCACCTGCAGTGTTGGGTCTTGTCATGATGATACATACCATTCAAAGTTTCTCGTGAGGGGACGGTAGCAACGGCTCAGGAAGTCCTCAGCATCACCTTCATCAGCTCTGTACACAGCCAGACACGCCCATGCATGGAGGGGAGGGTTGGGGTCACTGAGGTTAAACTCACATCCTGGAAGCTGAACAGAAATGTGGTGTGTGGTCCTGTGCATAGACCTCAGGTTACAAATCAGGTGAAACAACGTTTGGCGGGGACAGTCCTTGGATGGGTGACTGTGTTTGGCAGCTTGACTCCTGAGAGTTTCTAGGACTTCAGTCCTGCCCCACAATGAAGCACATGTGATACATGTGGTCTCACCTTTGGCAAGTGAGTTTGTTCAAAATTGCCTCTGTTCACACAGCAGAAAATGGGTACCCGGTGGGATAAAGTCATATGACTATAACCTTCTATTGCCTAACAAGCAGCTTGGGTTGTCCGGAGTAATAGTAATACATAGATTGTTTGGGAGCTTTGAGCATGCATTGCGCATGGAGAAATGCACATGACAAATGGACTATAATAATTATTACTATTAAACAAATAACAAAGAAAAAGATCACCACCAGTGAGTAACTGATCACGTCTGCCACAAATATCTTCCACAATTAACATGCCATAGAACAGGGTTCATAAAGATTTTCAGCCATCAAATTTATGGCCTTTTTATGGTCTTTTTATGGTCTTTTCAAGGCCCAGTCAACAGTTTTAGGAACTATAGGGACACATTTAACACATAAATAGTTTAAGCCCGAGAGCCCCATCACTACTCAACACCTGGAAGCCCTCGCTGATTGCCCACTCTGTGCTGAGAGTAATTTGTGCTAGTCACACCTGATTTCCCTGGCAGGTTTCGGGGATCACAGGAAACTGTCTAGCCGTACAAACAAGTCCTGATTGTTTAATTGTGTGGTAAAGATATATGTTGAAAGAAATCAGGTGTGAATACATGTCGTGTATTGCAAGCTTTATGTAATTTTATTGCAAGTTTCTCTTGTAGACCTTTTGTCGGCTTGTACATTTATATTTTATCACAATATGCATACACATGTATTCTTTGTATGTAACAGATGAGACACATGTTAACAAATTCTCTCTCTTATATCATTGTGTGAGGTTTAAATTTACAAAACATCTATGACAATGACATACTGTAAAGAAGAATTTACTTTCATACTTTATAATCTTCCACGAAAATAGCGGTTTTGCAGATACATTTCTAGTGTTTACTGAATTATTTTAATGAAAGTACTATAACACTAGTCTGTGACTAGCACAAAAGCACATTCATAGCATTGCACTATATTTCATACAGATTTAATGCAGAAACATAAGTGACCATACAAGTACACATATACAAAATGTATACTACATATTCCTTGCATAGACAAAAACAAAGGAGTCCCGTGATAGAGTGATCAAATTTTGAATAGAGCGTTCGATTATCTCAACTGTTCAATGTAGTGGCTGGTCATATGTTATCTGCGACCAATCATATCATGAGATACCTGTCACAGAGGAAAGGACAGGTGGCCCGGTGGGCAAAATTTCTGAAGAGCACGTTTGGTCACTCAGCAGCTTGAATAGAGATTGGTTATTGGCTATATCCTTGACCAGTCGATATGCTGGGTTTCGGCTTTATCAACTCAAGCTATCATGTAACAGTTTGTGTATTGTAAACATACACACACTGGTAGCGATGTTTGAAATATACACATAAGACAAATAGGAGTAGATAGTCACTTTGGCAAGTTTATTTGTCCTCATTTTAGTGTTTTTTAGATAAGTAAAACAAAGCGATTGAAATCAACCACCACTGAGTCGAGGTAGTATTTATTTCATATACATTTTATGCACACAACCAGTACATAAAACATAATGGTTTTGCTGTACATGTAAAATATAATCTTCACCTTGATAGAATGACTATCCAAACTAGAATTACACCCATTACAGAATTCGAGGGTGACACTATACTGAATTATTATAGTGTATAAACTTGCAGTTGACACCCCACCCCAATATTTATGAAGGTGAAGTGCCTATATCTTTACTGAATGCAAGCGGGGTTCATAAGATTACAGATGTGCGTGCATGTATACACATCACAAGAGAGCGTGACTCCATAAAGCAAGATGTCCAATGATATAACAGCGCATCTGTTTATTTTACACTTGTCACTGGACAAACCTTTCAACAAAGGCGTAACTACATATGCATTCTACCAGAGGCTGTTATTTCAAGATCGGTGTCAGCGTTCAATTATCTCATTACTGTAATCATGCTTGAATGATTATGCGCATGTGTGTATCGATACCGTAACTGATATACTATCCAGCTTTCATTGGCTGATGGATCAATAGAGACTGAGTTGATTGATACACGTGATAATTGCACCGGATTGGATAATTACACAGATCAAATACAAACGTTTTACAGAATGCTCATGTAAATTGCATAGAAAACTGACAATTCAAATCAACATGAAACTTTCAACAGCTTGAACAAAAATGCTTGAAATACCTTTGTATGGCTTACATGTAATAACTTATGATATTACTTCTGTCCATGTGTGACAATGTTTTGAATTACCAACTTACTGTCTTTTGTAACACTGACTGAGTTTGGTTTTACGCCTCTTTTAGCAATATTCCAGCAACATCACGGCGGGGGACACCAGAAATGGGCTTCACAAATTGTACCCATGTGGGGATTGGAACCCGGGTCTTCGGCGTGACGAGCAAACTCTTTAACCACTGGGCTACCCAACCGCCCCCTCTTTTGTAACAAACGTAGTAAAACATTTCATTGTTGTAATAACACTGACATGTATATATGTATTCGATGCAAAGGCGCGACTTATCACTTTATATTCGCTTAAGTAACATTACGAACTTTAGATACAACTAGTTACAATTCAGTAAACTTCAAATTAGTAAGTTCAATTATGTTTAATCTATTCGAGCTTGGATGTATAATTACTTGTGTTTATACATTATGTTTCAGTATATGAAACATGACAAGCGTAATGATGCCTAAAAAGTAAGTTCAAACTATTCTATTGTGTTTGAATTCTTTGTATAATCATGAAATTTCGTATATTGTTTCCTATTTATTAGGTAGTTGAAGGAAATATAATTTTTAGTAACCTCTAAACCATTACATCTAATTCAATCAAGGTGCATACGAAGTATTTTTTTTTTTTTTTTTTTTTTTTAAATATTTTTATTTCCCAGAGTACATTTGTTGTTGTGGTACAAAAGCATCATATACAACACATCCTCGTCATCAGACGTTGAGCAAAGAACATCACCATCAGTACAATCAATCAATACATCAATACAAAAGCAATCATCGTATGTTCAGGGTAAATTGCTATAATGTATCTGTTATCCTTAACAAAGGCTAATATGTGTACCAGTACTTGTATTCAGATGCACTTATCAAATTTTATTATGCTTATATGACATCTAGGTTGGTATAATTGGCAAAAGTATGGAAGGAAGACCAGAAGGCATAGGAATTTTGATGGGTTTGCATTTGAAAATGCTGTGTATTTGGTAGCTTTGTAATAATTGAGTATTTCCCTTTGAAGCACTGTAAAAACTGGCTTTATATTATTGTCGACTTGTTTTTTATATAGCATGTATTTCACTATTAGAAACACCAGATTAAGTGGGTTGTTGTTTTACCTTTGAAACCAAAGATAATATTTTAGATGCGACAAATCAATATTTCCTTCAGACAGTATATCCAGCCAATCGGATACCTCCTCCATACTTTCCACGGTATATCGACATTCACACAATAAATGAATAATTGTTTCAGAACAGATTCACAAAATGTGCACATTGAAGAGTCTGTGTAATTCATCAAATGTAACATGTTTGGTCGTTAAAATATTGTCGCGTAATCTTGAAATGAAACCATCTTAACTTATGCGGCTTTCTGTACATCTATTTGCCATTAAATATATATTAGACCAGTCTTCTTTGTTATATTGTTTATTGAGGATGTGTTCCCATTTTTTTTTGGGCTTGTTGGTCCAGTTTCAACTGGAGGTATAAGTATATTATAAAAGGATTTACTCCTTTGGTTTTGTCCATAGATACAAGATATATTAAAGGTAATGTTGGGTGTTTAACCTGATAGGTCCAAGCTGTATCGGGTATTTTTCTGAGTCTGCAATATGCTAAGACAGTACACTTTATACCTTCTAGATGGAGGAAGTTTATGTTTTGCAATTCCATATTTTTTTTCTATATCAACTTTATGTAAGAAGTTTCCATTCTGATCTAGGATATCACATACTAACATTATTCCTTTTTGCCATATTTTCATGGTAGATTGACTTTCCCTCTATTTTAATGTTATTATTAAACCATAGAGACTGGTTGAAAATATCTGATATTTCTTGCACATTTATGTAACACCTTTTAAGTAGTGGCACCATGCCATTAACCGTCACTCCAAAATTGATTTTGAGACACTGGGAATAATATTATTGCACATATATTGTGCATCAGCATACCCATAATTTATTTGCATTGTCTAGGATTTCATTTTGCAATAGATGTACATTTGAACTGTTGAGCAGCAACCGTTTAATCCACATTATTTTTTTGCGCCAATTATAGTAGTTCTTACAATGGGTACACTTATTCCTCCATCCTTTGGTTTAAGATACATAATTTCTCGCTTTTACCTTATCTGTTTTTCCTTGCCACACAAAGTTAAAACACTTTTTTGGAACTTTTGTAATGTGTCTTCAGATGGACTGAGGGATGGATGAAAATAGATGGTTTAACTTTGGTAAAAAGCAAGGATTTTAAAATAACATTTTGCCCATTGGTGTCAAATATCTCAGAGACCAAATATTCATTTCTTGGTAGATTTTTCCAAATTTATCATTATAATTTAGGTCTACAATGTTATTTAATTCAACATCAAAACTATTCCTAAAGAAGTTTAAAATTTGATTGTGTCCAATCCAGATTCCATTCCTTGCACATCTTGTACCTGGATCGTTTTTTGACCCTATCCATATTAGCCTGTTTTTTCTGTGTTAACTTTAACCCCTGAAAATCTTGCAAAGCTAAGCTAATGTTCAAAACTGCATACAAACTTGATTCAGATCCTCTAAGGTCACTGTAATTAATCGAGTCTGCAAATTGGGCTAAAAGGCTTTGTATATTACCTATCTTTATCCTTTAATTTTCTTTATTTTTCTTAATAGAATGGCTAGTTATTCTGGCACATAGGATAAAAAATGTAAGGTGATATTGGTCTCCTTGTCGGCATCCCTAGTTATCTTGAAAACTCACTTTCATGAAGCCCATTTACTAATCACGGCTTTGATTCACATTAAGTTTAGCAATACTTGTATCAATTTCGAATACATGGTCCAAAGTTGAAAAAATCCATTACATTTTGCATAGTACTGCTGTCAACCCGAGGTCAAAAAGCTTTTCCAAAATCAATAAGCAGTAATAACTCCTGGAATTTGATATGATTCACTATAGTCCATTACGTTAGGTATATCTGCCTTGTGACTTCTCCTATGTATCTTCCTTGAATAAAACCTTTTTTGATCCTCACTGATAATAAGTGAGTAATATTGTCTTTATTCTATTTGCTATAACTGCAGAAGCCTAGTTTGTAAGAGGTATTTAGTAGTGATATTGGTCTCCAGTTTTTTAGCATTTTTTTACTTTTACCACTCTTAGGGATACAAGTAATAAGACCTTGTTTTTGTGATAATGGACATGGAACCATTTTTCATATGCATATTTCAAGGAGTTAATTAGAAATTTATTTAAGTCATTCCAAAAACTTGAGGAATTCACTGGAGAAGCCATCCTTTTATCATTTTTCATTTTCTTTAAAGCGACAAAGCGTTTCTTTGTATCATTATTTCTCCCTCTAAAAGATGAGGCAGCTTCTTTGACAGTTTAGGTATTTCATCTTCTATAAACAATTCTTCTAATTTAATTTGTGTGCAGTCTTCACTTAAGTAAAGTTTTTGTAGAATGTTCTAGTCTCTTCTAGTATTTCCTTATAATCTTTTATCACTGTACCTGTCCTTTTTTCCAATTCCATTATTGATTTATTTAAAAATTTCATAGCTTTCTAAATGTAAAAAGTACTTTGATGGTTTTTCCCCTTGTTCGATCCACTTTGCCTTGGATCTTATGTATAAACCTTTTATCTTTTTGTTTACTAATTTCTTCTAGGTCTTGTTTAACTTCATTTACTTTTTAAGTATTTCTGTCTTTTTCCAGCTGGTTCTGTATCAGGTCGATTTCCAATTCTCTCAATTTATTTTCCAAAGCCTTTTCCCTATTTAAAGTCATTTCTTTTTTGTAGATGAATAATATATAGTACACTCCTCTAATTTCTAAGTAGCATTTCCCATAACAGTTGATCATTTATGGTATATCTTGTTTCTTCAGCTTTTGCTTCGTTTTAACTTCCATATTGTTGTAAGGTATTCTTTATTGTAGTTTTACTTTTCAACATATTTTTTTCATCGTGGAGGTAGAGAGTTATTAAACTTCAAAATCCTTTCCCTCTTATCATTATCTCCCAAAGATATTTGCTAGTGAGATTATTGAGTGGTCCGAATTAATGCTTGGGGATATATCTGTTTGTGTAACTGCCTGTAAAGAGATTATGTGATACAAGGAAAAATCTAGCATGATTGTTTTAAAAATGGGGGTTGGTTGTCTCCAAATGAAACGTTTTTATCACGGGTTTGATTCTCTCCAGGGTCTTTCAAGTCTAATAGAGTTATAGCGTTTAATAGTTCTTGTCTGGCTTTTGGGTTATTCAGTGTGTTTCAGTAGTTATGGGTGTCTAGGTCACTGTCTAATACCATGTTCCAGTCTCCACATATTATCAATTTATCGTTTTCTTGTTGTTTAAACATATTTTTGATATTTATAATGAACTTCGGGGGCAATCTTTATTAGGTCCATATACATTAATAATTGTAGTCACTATCGTTATTTTTTACTGTCAGTAGAATATAATTTCCATTATCCATATCAATTTGTTGACCTGTAACCTTAAATTCAAAATTGTTATTAAAAGAATAGCTGGTCTCCTTGCATTGCTTCGGAAATGGCTGAAATAACATTCACTATAGCCCCACTGCTGTTTAATGAGGCTGTTCTTGCTCAGTAGTGAAATGAGCGTCTTGAAGACCAGAATAATATGTTAGCCTTTTTAGCCTTAAGAACCTGAATACCTGTTTTTCTTTTAAAAGCATTATTGAGACCTCTGCAGTTAAGAGATAGAATTTTAGATTTTCCTTATTTACATTTTGTTTCATTAGTTATCTTAAATGATTTGCAGTAGAAGGAGATGGTTTGATTGACCGTGCAAGTTCTTGGGATGAGTAATAAAGCATCAACAGCAGCAAACATACATTTGGGAATTTTTTGGTACAACAAAGGTGAACAAAAGATATAACAGCAAACAATATATATATGTGTACATTTCCAGGCTTCCGTCCTGTAATGCTGGTAAAGCATAATATACATTTACAGCCTTTTCGTCCGTTTTAATTATAGTTTGTTTTCACTTTTATGAATCCACTTTAGTTTGGGCTCTGGTTCTATGATATTACTGATAATAACAGTGGCATAGCTTTTCTGGATCATTTTTCTTCAGTTCCACAATATCTCGTTATATCGGTATTTCTACAAAGGGGCCCAGAGCCATGTCACCATTAACAATATAATCCGTGGTACATAATATTACTAACAATTACATATGTAATTTTTGTTTACTTCAATTATAATGCCCACATTTATATTTCCCAGTATAAGTTGTTGAAAGTGAAAGGCATAATAATAATAATATAATATTTCTATACCAATTGTGGTACCATGGCAGTTAGATACGTATTTAGTGGAATCAAATATTTAATACTTAGTATGGCAGCTACTTTGAATGACATAAAGTGGCAATTTAAAATGTTTACCCTGAGGACCGAAGTATTTTAGTATCCATTCCCAAGGAAGAGTACCAGGCACTTACCTCTGTAAAAACATCATAATCCCCTTTCTCGCCGACATGCGTTCATTTGCTAAAGGCTGTACGAGCCTATGATAATGATTAGCAATTGTTATCAAAACACTTTAAATACTTCTTCTGATTGATACTAAAGGTGGGATCGCTCGTAAGAAAAGCTAACATTTGCTCAGTACTGCTAAATTGGTTGAAATAATAGGTACCCAGTCGCGATTTTTAAAAGTACAACACGTGCCTTTTCGCTGTGAGGAGCTGATTAATTTGCCCCATATATGCGTCTCTCGGCCTTAATGAGTTAAAAGGTATTTTTAGTATGTATTAGTTTCATGTAAACTCATAACTATAAAGTTTTGCCAACTAAAGGGACTTTTTAGTGCAAATCACATTCAATCAGAGCCTTTTCAAGGCTAAAACAGATTTAGTGCCTTTTTAGGGTAAAATATACGAATAAGGGAACACATGAAAGTACAAATGTTTCTTTATTTATTTCCAGAATTTCACCCACAGTGCAATACATACCTTGTGAAGAAATCTGGAAAATAATTAAGGAACACTTGTACCTTCATGTGTTCACTTATTTGTTTCCATGAGTATATAAAACTCTGCAGAGATGTTGTTGTACCTACAAAGTAGCTTCAATATTTTTCACCTTACATCTGTATAACATTTACCTGCCCATCGCCCTTCATGTATCTGTCTTTAAGAAACAGCTCCAGCTGCTGCTGACAGAAGTCCAGGTCAACACGGATGTATGTGATCACGTGGAAGGCGAGGTCCCAGGGGGCATACTGGAATTGGAAACGAGGGAAGAAGGAAATGACTTTGATGAAAAAGATGTTTGAGATTTTTCGGGGGAAGAAGTCGATGAAGAGAGTTTATCATTGTACCATCCTCATTCATCTGGGGTACTTATCTCAATTCTGTTTTGAGTGAGCCAGTATACTTTTACACAGCTTATAGCAATATTCCAGCAGTATCAAGGCAGGGGACACCAGAAATGGGCTTCACACATTGTACCCATGAGGGGGAATCGAATCCATTTGTTTTTGTCAGTGATGACTACCGCCAATGTCCCCCCATCTCAGAATATGATGACATAGAATATAGATTATATTATGACTGGTAATCAACATTCACCAGCTGTCTGCTTGAACTTTGACCAAATATCACTTTGACGACCACATTAGCCACTACAAGTAGTTTTACCCAAGGAAACTCCCACTTGTCTGGCATAGCGATGATGTCGGAGTTGTTGATATGCTGCCAGCCCTCATTCCACACTCGCCTCTCTGGTACGTCATCAGAGGTCGCACCAGCCTCGTCCTGACCTCTCAACCCTGAATACATTAACACTGACCTGTCATTTATGCTTATGTCAGTAACAACACTACCACAATAATTTCATGTTGTCAGAACGTTGTCAGAACATTGTGAGAATGATATGCTTGCATTGTTACAACGTTACTTCAGTGTTTATTCATCAATTTGCATGTTGTTTTGGATGTGTGTTTTCTAAAGCTGTAGCTGAATAGTGGAGAGAGAATCTCAAAGTGAAAAGTTTGACAGAAAACTATCGCGATGACAAGTTATAAAGAAACGTGTTTATAACCTTGTAGTAGCCTAGTTGTTAACATAAATTTGCAACGTTGTTATCACATTGTGACATAACACTATAAAATGACCTAAAGGTAGACCTTCTGGGACCACCCCGGTCCCGGTTCAGTAACACCTACTGTTAATGGCCTTCTCCACATCATACAGGTAGAACTGTTGGGACCACCCCGGTTCAGGTTCAGTAACACCTACTGTTAATGGCCTTCTCCACATCATACAGGTAGACCTTCTGGGACCACCCCGGTTCAGGTTCAGTAACACCTACTGTTAATGGCCTTCTCCACATCATACAGGTAGAACTGCTGGGACCACCCCAGTCCCGGTTCAGTAACACATACTCTTAATGGCCTTCTCCACATCATACAGATAGACCTCCTGCGACCACCCCAGTCCAGGTTCAGTAACACCTACTCTTAATGGCCTTCTCCACATCATACAGGTAGACCTGCTGGGACCACCCCAGTCCCGGTTCAGTAACACCTACTGTTAATGGCCTTCTCCACATCATACAGATAGAACTGCTGGGACCACCCCAGTCCACCTACTGGTTCAGTAACACCTACTCTTAATGGCCTTCTCCACATCATACAGATAGACCTCCTGCGACCACCCCAGTCCAGGTTCAGTAACACCTACTGTTAATGGCCTTCTCCACATCATACAGGTAGACCTGCTGGGACCACCCCAGTCCGGTTCAGTAACACCTACTGTTAATGGCCTTCTCCACATCATACAGATAGACTGCTGGGACCACCCCCAGTCCAGGTTCAGTAACACATACTGTTAATGGCCTTCTCCACATCATACAGATGTTAATGGCCTCCTGCACTAGAACTGCACCCCAGTCCAGGTTCAGTAGCACACCACCTACTCTTAATGGCCTTCTCCACATCATACAGGTAGACCTGCTGGGACCACCCCAGTCCAGGTTCAGTAACACCTACTCTTAATGGCCTTCTCCACATCATACAGGTAGACCTGCTCGGACCACCCCAGTCCCGGGTTCAGTAACACCTACTGTTAATGGCCTTCTCCACATCATACAGGTAGACCTCCTCGCGACCACCCCAGTCCAGGTTCAGTAACACCTACTGTTAATGGCCTTCTCCACATCATACAGGTAGAACTGCTGGGACCACCCCAGTCCAGGTTCAGTAACACCTACTGTTAATGGCCTTCTCCATCATACAGGTAGAACTGCTGGGACCACCCCAGTCCAGGTTCAGTAACACCTACTGTTAATGGCCTTCTCCACATCATACAGGTAGAACTGCTAGGACCACCCCAGTCCAGGTTCAGTAACACCTACTGTTAATGGCCTTCTCCACATCATACAGGTAGAACTGCTGGGACCACCCCAGTCCTGGTTCAGTAACACCTACTGTTAATGGCCTTCTCCATCATACAGGTAGAACTGCTAGGACCACCCCAGTCCATGTTCAGTAACACCTACTGTTAATGGCCTTCTCCACATCATACAGGTAGACCTCCTGCGACCACCCCAGTCCCGGTTCAGTAACACCTACTGTTAATGGCCTTCTCCATCATACAGGTAGAACTGCTAGGACCACCCCAGTCCAGGTTCAGTAACACCTACTGTTAATGGCCTTCTCCACATCATACAGGTAGAACTGCTAGGACCACCCCAGTCCAGGTTCAGTAACACCTACTGTTAATGGCCTTCTCCACATCATACAGGTAGACCTGCTGGGACCACCCCAGTCCAGGTTCAGTAACACCTACTGTTAATGGCCTTCTCCACATCATACAGGTAGAACTGCTGGGACCACCCCAGTCCAGGTTCAGTAACACCTACTGTTAATGGCCTTCTCCACATCATACAGGTAGACCTCCTGCGACCACCCCAGTCCAGGTTCAGTAACACCTACTGTTAATGGCCTTCTCCATCATATACAGGTAGAACTGCTAGGACCACCCCCAGTCCAGGTTCAGTAACACCTACTGTTAATGGCCTTCTCCACATCATACAGGTAGAACTGCTGGGACCACCCCAGTCCAGGTTCAGTAACACCTACTGTTAATGGCCTTCTCCACATCATACAGGTAGAACTGCTGGGACCACCCCAGTCCAGGTTCAGTAACACCTACTGTTAATGGCCTTCTCCACATCATACAGGTAGACCTGCTGGGACCACCCCAGTCCAGGTTCAGTAACACCTACTGTTAATGGCCTTCTCCACATCATACAGGTAGAACTGCTGGGACCACCCCAGTCCAGGTTCAGTAACACCTACTGTTAATGGCCTTCTCCACATCATACAGGTAGACCTGCTGGGACCACCCCAGTCCAGGTTCAGTAACACCTACTGTTAATGGCCTTCTCCACATCATACAGGTAGAACTGCTGGGACCACCCCAGTCCAGGTTCAGTAACACCTACTGTTAATGGCCTTCTCCACATCATACAGGTAGAACTGCTGGGACCACCCCAGTCCAGGTTCAGTAACACCTACTGTTAATGGCCTTCTCCACATCATACAGGTAGACCTGCTGGGACCACCCCAGTCCAGGTTCAGTAACACCTACTGTTAATGGCCTTCTCCACATCATACAGGTAGACCTGCTGGGACCACCCCAGTCCAGGTTCAGTAACACCTACTGTTAATGGCCTTCTCCACATCATACAGGTAGACCTGCTGGGACCACCCCAGTCCAGGTTCAGTAACACCTACTGTTAATGGCCTTCTCCACATCATACAGGTAGACCTGCTGGGACCACCCCAGTCCAGGTTCAGTAACACCTACTGTTAATGGCCTTCTCCACATCATACAGGTAGAACTGCTGGGACCACCCCAGTCCAGGTTCAGTAACACCTACTGTTAATGGCCTTCTCCACATCATACAGGTAGAACTGCTGGGACCACCCCAGTCCAGGTTCAGTAACACCTACTGTTAATGGCCTTCTCCACATCATACAGGTAGAACTGTTGGGACCACCCCAGTCCCGGTTCAGTAACACCTACTGTTAATGGCCTTCTCCACATCATACAGGTAGAACTGCTTGGACCACAGGAGGCCTGCTACAGCCTGCTGGGCTACTGATTCTTCCTCTTCACTCCACTTTGGGGACATCAGCTGGAAAAACGGAATTGGATCACAGCCTGCCTGATGCTAGATGATGTTCATGAGTTTGGTCGGAACTAAATAAATAAGGAAAACTAAAACCTTTACAGACTACTTATATAACCATTGATACAAATAACTGGTGACAATGTCACACACTCAGTGACACCATGGAACACAATGGCACCACACAAGCCCAACCCACTCCATCATCAAACATAAGTTTGAGGAGATAAGTGACCCAATTGGTCCTGGAGTGAGTGAGTTAGTGAGTGAGTATGAATATCTATTGTCACATCGGCAATATTTCAGCCATATCGTGACGAGAACAATGAATTATCATTAAAAATCAAAATAATTAGAAGCTATAAAACTGTTTTCGGTGAACAGTAAAACTACAAGTGTATCACAGATAGAGATATATAACTAGCATGGAACTTTAAAAATAAACCTCTATTATGGACAACGCAATATAAAAACGGGCTGGAGATCACCAACACCTGAAGGTTGATCACCATACTAGGGACCATGGTGACTTAGTACCTTTGCTACCTGCATGGACCCTAGTTGGATTTACACCATCCCTTCAGCTGCTGGCGATTGTTGTTGAATTATAAATTTAAAATTACAAAGATAATAGGTTTAAAATATTTGGTAAGATTAATTCACTTTGATTGCTTTGGGACTAACTTGACCTGAGAAGATTCAGGTTAGAATTAATTTTCAGCAACCACAAACTCTGCTATATAACAACCTGGAGACACACTTAGTTCACGACATACAGCACCTGTGAAAATCCGTGTTAGATTTGGTCTTCAGAAAACCAAGCTTGTTATAAGAGGTGACTAAAGGAATCGTGTGCTCAGACTTGCTGACTTGGTTGACACGTGTCCCAGTTGCATAGATCATTGCTGTTGATCACAGTATTGTCTGGTGCAGACCAGATTATTTACAGACTGACGCCATTTAGCTGGAAAATTGCTGAGTGCGGCATTAAGCAAACAAACAATCAAACAAACAAACAAGCAAAGCAAAGCAAAGCAAAGAGCTTAGTTCACCAAAGAAATGTCACAGAATCATCTCCACAGTAGCTGGACTGAATACAAATCATGCGGATTTGGCTACCAGTGGATAAAGAAAGCTCTATAGTCTAGAACACTTTCTTTTCATTAGGGTGTGGTGGGGTAGCCTAGTGGTTAAAGCGTTAAGCTCTTCACGCTGAAGACCGGGTTCGAATTCCCCATATCGTTACAATATGTGAAGCCCATTTCTGGTGTCCCCAGCCATGACATTGCTGGAATATTGCTAAAAGCGGCGTAAAACCAAACTCACTCTTATCACTAAAAAGGTCATAATATTAAGGACAGATGCACTGTTTAACACTATCTACAATATTGTAACGTAGAAAAATGAAATTTTTAGAGTAAAATTAATATTTTTATACTTATCCTGACTCATGTTTATTTGCTTGTCTTCTTCTTCTGGCGAACCTAGTGGAACACTTGTATCTCCCAATTGAAGTTCCCTTCAATAAAAAATCACTCATTAGTACTGACTAATGAAAGTTACCTCCCTTCCACAAGCTGAACGAGGGCTGCATCCAAAACCCATGTGCCTCACTCTCTCCTCATACTGAGGCCCAACACCTGAATTTCCACGAAATCCCAAAGTGTTAGAGTGGGGAGGGCCGGGAGGAAGACCATGAGTCAGGATAGAATATAAAAAATATTAATTTTACTCTAAAAATTTCATATTTTTTCCTTATCCTGACTCATGTTATTGTTTGTAGAACTCACACGAATAGGAGGTGGGATGATATATACTTTGGATTTTACTAATTAGTGATTTGAACTGAGATAATTGTAATAACCCTAAGGGAACTTCTATATGAAGCACTGAACTGAATTCCTGCTGTTAACTTATCAGTTGCCATATAAGGGTTATTACAATTTACTGAATATAATAAAGTATATAGAACATTAATTAGGCTAAAGCTATTAATGTGATAGTATAAACTGTTGATAGTTTATAATGAATACTTTTATAGAACAAAATAGTAAGCTTACAATATGCATATATGTAAGTTATAACAGAATTGTTAGCTTAAGGTATAATGATACTTTTAAGCTGTATAATAGTAACCAACTACTGAGAGTTTGTTAACTAATACATGTTATGAAATGAACATATGACTGAGCTTAATGATTGAAACTTAAGCTGAACATATATATAATAGTAGAACTCCTAAGAGTTGTAGGCATATATATAGTATGATTATAGAACTGTGCTTAAGATATAATTAGCAAGCAACCTAAATAGCCAAAACAACTCGTAGAGTAAAGAGTTTGTTAGCTATTACATTTTATAATGTAACCATAATGCTTAAAATATGATGAAACTTAAGCTAAGTATATGATAGTAAAAACTCTTTAGAGTTTGTTAGCTAATATACTTATATGATATAAACACGGTACTGAGCTTTAAGATATGAATAAACTTAGCTACATATATATACAGCAAAACTCCAGAGAGTTTGTTAGCTAATACATGTTATAATGTAACCATAATGCTTAAGATATGACTTTAAACTTAAGCTACATATATAATAGCAAAAAACTCTGTAGAGTTTGTTAGCTAATATATTTTTATGATATGAGTATAGTACTGTGTTTAATATATAATGAACTTAAGCTACATATATATTAGCAAAACAAACTCTGTAGAGTTTGTTAGCTAATACATTTATAATGTAACCATAGTACTGAGCTTAAGATATGATTAGCTTAAGCTAAATATATAATAACAAACTCCGTAGAGTTGTTAGCTTATATATTGTATGATATAATAACCATAGTACTGAGCTTAAGATAATAAAAGAACTTAAGCAAAATATATATAGCATGTAGCTATTAGAAGTACTGTTATAAGATAAGTAAAAAATCTGTAAGATTGACTTATCTTCACCGAGAACTGTCAACTGTTGTCGCGAGGACCATGGGACCTAACTGGTGGATACATGAGAGAGCGTCCTCGGTGGTGATATCTCTCAGATAGTGGTTGGCAAACACCATATCGGATCTCCAGAAAAATAACCCTCCATTATTTCAATAGCATTGTATATGTTAGCTTCTAATATCATGAGGATTAGAAGCTCATGGAGGTTGATCCTGCAGTCTTGTAGGCACGCATGAGTATGACAGTTCTGATCCAAAAGGAGATGAATGCATGAGACTTCCGTCTGCGTGTAGCTTGATAGAGGAAATAATCTCTTGCATTTTTCCCTCCTGTTTGGCTCGGTGGAGATATATTTTCAGTGCTCTTACTGGCCATCGGATAGATTCATGCATTATCATGGGGTCCAAAGTATATCATCAAAAGCGTGTTCATAAACCTCACTTGTGAGGTGTTGAGCACTATATTCAGATCCCAAGTTGGAGCGTGAAACTTCCGTTTAATCCTCCTCCAATCGAAAGCTCTCAGTAAGCAGAAGTAACTGGTCAGAACTTGGCGCCCGTTCTCAGTTATGATAGAGCTATTGCTGCAAGATAGGTGGACAAGTTGGGCCTTATAAAATCTTAGTCTGGCGTAGATAACATAAGTAGTCAGCCACTTGGAGGATTAGTAGCATATCTAGCTGTAAATCCTTCCTTTGCAGCATAATTGACAAAACTGTCCATTTGTCATCGGTATAAGTTGCCAGTTGAGTTAAGCGGGGCGTTAGACTGCTTTGCCGCTCTGGCTGAATAACTTGTTATTCAGACTAGCATTCTGATACAATCCATGCGTTGGAGTTGGAATATATCTGGCTTTCCGTCGCTTGTTTGGTGTGTGCGGGTGTATTAATAGATTCGAGCACTCTGTAAGGTGTAGTATTGGTTGTCCGATTTCTTGAATAAGAGTTGGAAACCACTTCCTCGGTCAGTAGGCCGTGACCAAAATCAGATGGAGGCTCTGCTTTAGACTGATTTAGAGTAAACTTGTGAGATTAACGCTGGTGGCGGGAAAAGCGTGACGCGTTGAGACCTTCCCCACGATATGCTTGGTGCATCTGTTGCTGAATGCTAGTGGGTCTGGAACTGGCGCATCTTAAATGTTGTCAGTTGTTTGTTGAATCGAAGATGGTAAATAGGTCTATTAGTGTAGTTCCTATTTCCTTGATAATTTGAGTGAATATCTCTGTATGGAGCATTCATTCTGTCGGCAATGGTACGTGTGGCCGAGAGAGAGCGTCGGCTATCACATTCTTTGCTCCTGGAATGTGATATGCTCTGACATGTATGTTGAGATTGTTGATTAAATCGAATAATTGAAAACAGAGTCCATATGTTCGGGGACCTGGTTGAGCTTAGTTTGTTCACATAAAAGCGCCACTGTCGAATTGACTGTGTGAATCATCCACTGGGTATACTGTAGTAAGTTGCTCCAGTGTATTAAAGGCGTTTATTACTGCTTGCATCTCTAGCAGATTTATGTGTAATTGCTCTCTTGATTGCTCATAGCCCTGATGCCGTCCTGTTGGCAAGATGGGCTCCCCAACCTTATAGTGACACATCTACGAGAGGTGTTATCGATTCCAGCTCTATTAGCGAGGCAGCCTATTCAAACATTCGATCTCTTGGTGCATCATAGTAGATGAGGTTTGACCTGAACCGATGATTGAGCCGGTAGAGATTAGATCTAGATGCAATTGCTGATGACTTGTAGCGGATGTAATTGTAGTCTGCCTCTGTCTGTCATGTCTTGAGCTGAGCTGCAAGTGCGTAACCCCAACAGACTCTGTCACTGCAATCCGTAGTGGTAGCGGAGATAGTAAGGCTTGTATGAAATGACTGTTGGATCTTGATCCATGGTCCTCCGGTACAATTATACCATTCTGCGCCGTTACAAATCAAAACCTAGAATAGCAGATCTTGCGAAGGTTCTAGGTCCAACTTAGTAGGTTTACTAACCATCTAGTTGTGTTAGTAGCTTGATGATGAATTCAACTGTAGTTGAGACGCTATGGATTTGGATCCATTTGTATCCCGTCGTCGAGGTAAATTCGCTGCGAAGTGCTTGACGATGTAGATGCATAACCAGGGGTGACTGCCATCGTTGAACTTATGTAAAAAATCGTCTAACTGCCGTGTCCTCGTCCTTACTTGACAGGGGAGGTCTCTAACCTCAAGAAGGCAGCCCAATCATGAAGGTTAAGATTAGCTGGACTGTAAGGAGGCTTGCTCGTTCACTGATATATTGATATTAGAACAATCGTCGGTCTTCACCGTAACTTCCCGAAGTTACCAGAGTGACCACGTGTTTCGAGGGTTGATGGTAAACGCGCGAAACCTCCGGCGCAAAATACCTCGCTCTGTAATATTAATGCTGGATAAGTTATTTTCCAGGCTGTCGTGAAAGTAACTTCAGTCTTGAAGATAATTCCGACTTCCTTATATAAGGTTCAATAACCTTGCAAGTTGTCAGCTTGTAGACTGTTAAAGCTGAACTTGTTGTACATATTACTTCTGAGGAAATCGTTGACTATTATGAGTTTTACTCGCTGTAACAAGACTGCTGTTCAATTTCGCTTTGAATTGTCTCCGCAGATCTGCGTAATTGGTCACGCATGTAGATAATCGATGTCGTAGTAGGTAGTCGGCGAAGATCCTAATTAGGCTCTTCATCCGTTGATAGAATAATACAGCTGACGTTGTGTGTTGTAAATAGCCTGTGCAATTGTCTTACGTGATAGGCTTGTAGACGGACATTTGGCTTACAGTTGATAAACAACTCATGTGATGTCTTGAGCGGACTGACGAAAGTGGCTATATATACGAAAGTGGCTAGTATATGGAGACCTTGGAGGAGACTTCCTCGGCTTAAGCCGGGACTTAGCGAAGATCTCGGAAGTAACGCTTCTAGATCTTCTGGTTGAAGTAGACTTGGAGCCACTTAGCCTTCAGCGACCTTCGCGAAAAGTATCGCAGTCAGAGTCCAATCAATATATGAGCTTGCTTCGAACAACCTCTGTGTTCTACAGGGTGTGGGCTCGGCTGCGCTCCTTCTCCGCGATGTCCCTCTCAACTGGTGAGGGAAGCTGTAGCTCCTTCTTCGTGGAGGCTGCCTGGGACTTCCTTAGCGAAAGTGTCTAGAGTCGGATCTTAATTGATACCATCATCTTCCTCTGGCGATGGTCGTATATGTCGGAGACCTCGATCTGTAAGAAGATCTATGTGAGGACTGAGGAGAACCGGACTGACGATTGGCTAGTGTATGTAGACCTTGGAGAAGACATCCTTCGCGAAACTGTGGGCTTCGAGCGGTGATGGCTTCGCCAAGCGTTGAGGGCTGGGCGCGAACGCCTTCTAGGCGTTGTAGAACCACTTAGCCTTTCGTGGTTCTCAGCTGAATGTCTGGAGTCAGTGTCCGATCCCACATATGAGTGCTTGCTGCTTAACGCCTCTTCGTGACATGACAAGGTGCGTGCTAGGCGAAGCACTCCTTCTCCGCGAAGCCTCTTGCAAAGGGTCAGACTCTAGCTCCTTCTCGGAGGCGGCCTGGGATACCTTATGCAAAGAGCTCACTCCGGGCAGGGTTGCCCTTCACGGAGGCTCGTCTATAGGCTCAGGGGCCCTACGCAAAGTCAAGGCGGGCTCTGGGGCCCTGTATGACTTAGTATGGCTGACCAGGTCGTCTGGGATGGTCTGCGCTGGCGTTGAGGGTGTCCTCTCTGTGATAGTGACGGGACCCTCAGTTATAATCTCCGGCGTCAGCGTAGGCATCTCTGATTGCATGTTGATCTGCGCTGAAGTGACGGTAGTCGTACTGGTCACTTCTTATGACATACATCTGGAATGATAATCGAAATGTCATCATCATATAAACATAATTCTGAATATCAGAAGCAAAGTTTTTTAGTAGTCTTCGTGGATTTCCCTTTGACGAGGCTGTAGACCTGGGGGCTCGGAGCATACGTTGAGACCACGCGGAAGTTCTTCTAGTTTTATACTGTGATGAAGGAACGTCCCTGGGAAGCAGGTCGCTTCTAGATATAGCGGATCTCGTCCCACGCTTATCCCGAAGGTAACTCAGGATATATCTGACTCCGATCTATTAGCCATGACTGAAGATTGTTTCCGAGATTTATCTGCCTTCCGTCTCAAAACGGAACATAAATATTTATCAAAAGGCAGAAATTGGTAAATTAATATATAATTTACAACGAGAACAATAGAACATGGAGTAATGCAAGTAGGGCATTTTAAATGTGGATCTGTAGCAGAATGCGTAATTTACAAACAGTGCAGATTTTATTAGCGAAACTGCTGAGCAACACGGGCGAACCGTGAATCAAGCAGCAGAAACACGAATAATTATCAATGCATGTTGAATAATGATACTAGTTACACCTCTATAGATGAATATAAGAGGTAACAAACCAAATATAAATAAAGGATATAGTGTGCAGGGAGACACAGGTGCTCTCACGTCTTGCTCACTGGGTGAAGAGTGAGGCACATGGGTTTGGGTGGCGCCCTCGTTCCCGCTCTTGTGGAAGGGAGGTAACTCGTGGTCAGTACTAATGAGTGATTTTTTATTGAAGGGAACTTCAATTGGGAGATACAAGTGTTCCACTAGGTTCGCCAGAAAAAGAAGACAAGCAAATAAACATGAGTCAGGATAAGTATAAAAATATAACTAACTTTAGCATAAAATATTTTCGTTTCAGCCTTCCTCTTGTTGATGATATCGTCCATCTGCAAAACACTCAGAGTCGAATAAGACTTGGAATTTTGTATTGACCAGTAGATCTTCTTTTCGCCACCAGGGGGCACCGTCAGCCAGTAGGGGTCAGCACATTTACTCCCGCAGTGACCAGGGTTTACAGCAGCACTGCCACCTGTAGGAGAGAGTTTCATGTGTTGATGGATGCAGACATTGCAGCAAAATTAACCAGGATGAAAAATGTTTTCAGATTTCTGAGTGTCATTGACGATTCAGTGCCCTGAAATTTGAATGGAACTAGATGCATCAGTACATTGAGTACTCAACAATGACACATCAGAAGTACACATACTATCCAACATTTTGAAAATGAACATTTTAACTACAGATTATATACAGTGGACTCCTCTAAACAACATCGCTTGGGACCGGTGAAAAATGTCAGTTTAGAGGGATGTCAGTTTTGAGGGTGTTTTTAGAAACTCAATCAAAAATTAAACCACACACACACACAAAATTCAACAAACACAGTGAAACGTATGTTTATCTAGAGTTATATCTAGAGTGAACTCAGTCCTTGCCATCTTAAGAGACGAGGTTGCCATTGTGACTTGTAGTGCAGTATCTGACCATGACTTGTTATTATAATATAATATGTTTTGGTGACACTGATGATGTCAGGATACAATGGATGACATCACGGTGCCATGGATGATGCCACAATACAATATTTGACATCATGGTGCCATGGATGATGTCAGGATACAATGGATGACATCATGGTTCAATGGATGATGCAACAATACAATATTTGACATCATGGTGCCATGGATGATGTCACAATACAATGGATGACATCACGGTGCCATGGATGATGTCAGGATACAATGGATGACATCATGGTTCCATGCATGATGTCACAATACAATGGATGACATCATGGTCCCATGGATGATGCCACAATACAATATATGACATCATGGTTCCATGGATGATGTCACAATACAATGGATGACATCATGGTACTATGGATGATGTCACAATACAATAGATGACATCATGGTGCCATGGATGATGTCACAATACAATGGATGACATCATGGTCCCATGGATGATGTCACAATACAATGGATGACATCATGGTGCCATGGATGATGTCAGGATACAATGGATGACATCATGGCGCCATGGATGATGTCAGGATACAATGGATGACATCATGGTGCCATGGATGATGTCAGGATACAATGGATGACATCATGGTGCCATGGATGATGTCAGGATACAATGGATGACATCATGGTGCCATGGATGATGTCACAATACAATATTTGACATTATGGTGCCATGGATGATGCCACAATACAATGGATGACATCACGGTGCCATGGATGATGTCAGGATACAATGGATGACATCATGGTACTATGGATGATGTCGCATTACAATGGATGACATCATGGTTCCATGGATGATGTCACAATACAATTGGTGACATCATAGTGCCTTGGATGATGTCACAAATCAATGGGTGACATCATGGTGCCATGGATGATGTCTCAATACAACGGGTGACATCATGGTACTATGGATGATGTCACATCACAATAGATGACATCATGGTGCCATGCATGATGTCACAATACAATGGATGACATCATGGTTCCATGGATGATGTCACAATACAATGGATGACGTCATAGTGCCTTGGATGATGTCAGGATACAATGGATGACATCATGGTGCCATGGATGATGTCACAATACAATGGATGACATCATGGTGCCATGGATGATGTCACAATACAATAGATGACATCATGGTGCCATGCATGATGTCACAATACAATGGATGACATAATGGTTCCATGGATGATGTCACAATACAATGGGTGACATCATAGTGCCTTGGATGATGTCAGGATACAATGGATGACATCATGGTGACATGGATGATGTCAAGATACAATATGACATCATTGCTACTGCCACAGCAACCTGATTTAGCAGAATGTGGCAGATACCTGCATTCAAATGAGGACAAATTTTGAGACATAATTGGTGTAACTAGTATGATTTCTATAAATTTGGAATTTCTGACTGACCGACTGGTTTTACGCCGCTTTCAGTAATATTCCAGCAACATCACGGCAGGGGACACCAGAAATGGGCTTCACACATTGTACCCATGTGGGGATTCGAACCCGGGTCTTCGATGTGACGAGCCAATGCTTTAACCATTAGGCTACCCCACCGCCCCTCCAATTTTACAATGTTTCATGAACAATCAGACAGTATCCCAATGCATTACCAGTGTAATGATAATAATAATATTTAATTTATATAGTGCCTAGTATCAACCTAATAGTTGCTCACTGGACGCTGTAATCACAAACTGATTATTAATTACCCCAGATGCCCAAGCTGCCTGTGAGGCGCTAGAAGGTTATAGTCACATGACTTATCTCACCGGGTACCCATTTTCTACTGGGTGAACAGAGGCAATTTTGAACAAGCTCACTTGCCTAAGGTGAGACCACATGTATCACATGTGAATCATTGTGGGGCAGGACTGAAGTCTTAGAAACTCTCAACAGTCAAGCTGCCTAAAACGGTCACCCATCCAAGGACTCTCCGCGCTCAACGTTGCTTAACTTCAACTGATTTGTGACCTGAACTCTATGCACAGGACCACACACCACCACTAGCTGGTAGTGTTGTGAAAGCCATCTTACCATGTATGATGTATCTGTGAAAGGCATCTTTATAGAAGCCTGAATCTAGGTGTTCAGTACTCCACTGTTGTACATCAGGCTGGGTCTCTGATTGTCCAGTCTTCTGTTGTGTGTCTTGGCGAGTATTCAACTGTTCAGTACTCTGCTGATTTGTCTTCAACTGTTCAGTACTATGTTGCTGGATCTCTGACTGTTCAGTACACTGTTCCTGGTTCTGTGACTGTTCAGTATTCTGCTGTTGTGTGTCTGTTCTGGTTTCTAGGCCTTCAGTTCCATGTTGTTCTGTGCCAGGCCGTGTTTCGTTGTTGCAGAACAACACCTCCCCTGAGTTTGGAGTATCTGCATGAAAGTCAACTTGAAACTGTCCTGCATGAACAGAACATAAGTTTCATAAAATATTTGTAACAATCCCCATAATGATGAGGCAAAATGAAAGAGGTCCTCGAATATCCGGGCAACATTTCTCCATTTTATTACGATATTGAAGGGTTGAATGTTTTTTCTTGTTTATTTTGTTACACCGTACACAGCAATATTACAGTTATATTCTAGTGGTCTGTAAATAACAAGTCTGGACTAGACAATCAAGTGATTGACAATATGAGCATCAATCTATGAAATTAGGATACAATGACATAAGTCAGCGAGCCAGCAAGCCGGACCTCCCGATCCCGTTCGTCGCCTCTTACGACAAGCATGGGTTACTGAAGGTTCATTCTAACCCGGACCTTCACGGGTCCAATGACATGTGTCAACCAAGCCAGCGAGCCTGACCACGTCACCCGATCCCGTTAGTCGCCTCTTACGACAAGCATGGGTTACTGAAGGTTCATTCTAACCCGGACCTTCACGGGTCCAATGACATGTGTCAACCAAGCCAGCGAGCCTGACCACGCCACCCGATCCCGCTTATTGGCCTCTTCGACAAGCATGGGTTACTGAAGGTTCATTCTAACCCGGACCTTCAACGGGTCCAATGACATGTGTCAACCAAGCCAGCGAGCCTGACCACGCCACCCGATCCGTTAGTCGCCTCTTCTGACAAGCATGGGTTACTGAAGGTTCATTTTAACCGGACCTTCACGGTCCAATGACATGAGTCAACCAAGTCAGCGAGCCTGACCCGTCACCCGATCCGTTAAGTAAGCCTCTTCGACAAGCATGGGTTACTGAAGGTTCATTCTAACCCGGACCTTCCGCGGGTCCAATGACATGTGTCAACCAAGCCAGCGAGCCTGACCACGTCACCCGATCCCGTTAGTCGCCTCTTACGACAAGCATGGGTTACTGAAGGTTCATTCTAACCCGGACCTTCACGGGTCCAATGACATGTGTCAACCAAGCCAGTGAGCCTGACCACGTCACCCGATCCCGTTAGTCGCCTCTTACGACAAGCATGGGTTACTGAAGGTTCATTTTAACCCGGACCTTCACGGGTCCAATGACATGAGTCAACCAAGTCAGCGAGCCTGACCACGTCACCCGATCCCGTTAGTCGCCTCTTACGACAAGCATGGGTTACTGAAGGTTCATTCTAACCCGGACCTTCACGGGTCCAATGACATGAGTCAACCAAGTCAGCAGGTTGAACCACTGAATACCATTAGTCACATATGACAGGCGTGGGTTTCTACAGACCAGTTCTGACCTTGATCTTCACAGATAAAGAGTTGAACAGATGGCATTTTTAGCGTAGTTGCAGTTAAGACAGACTCACAATGATCTTTGGTGTTAGGGTTGGGTTGTCTGTGTATCCTGACTTAAGTTAACTTGATAGTGCTAGCACCCTCAGATACCTGAGTGAGTGAGTTTAGTTTTTACGCTGCACTCAGCAATATTCCAGCTAAATGGCGGCGGTCTGTAAATAATCGAGTCTGGAACAGACAATCCAGTGATCAACAGTATGAGCATCGATCTACGCAATTGGGATACAATGACATGTGTCAACCCAGTCAGTGAGCCCGACCAACCAATCCTGTTAGTCGCCTCTTGCGACAAGCATGGGTTGCTGAAGACCAATTCTAACCCGGATCTTCACGGGTCTGCCTAGTATGTAAAGCATGGGTTGCTGAAGACCAATTCTAACCCGGATCTTCACGGATCACCATGCTGCAGAACAAGGCTGTTCCCATCTGATTACACTGATCCTGTGCAGACAATCCTTGTTTTATCTCTTTAATGTTAAAAACTACCATCTTTTAATATCTTTAGACAGACCATGTCTTTGTCCTACCTAGAAGGCGGCTGCAAGCAAGTACTGATCCTGATGCTGTGAGACTCAAGGAGGGTTTGCTGTCAGCCGCATCAATGGACAAGTCATCCCATGTATTCCTGTAAAAAATCAAATCTTATAATGTTTCCGTGGTCTTACTCTAAGTCACATACACAGCTGCATGCTGAGTCACTCAATTTCCAGCTATATGGCTGTAAATAATCAAGTCTGACCAGACAATCCAGGAGCAGAATCTGGGTGTGTTTGGGCAGTGAGCCTGACCATCTGATCCCGTACAAGATGGGTTACTGAAGATCATAAACCCGGACCTTCTTCTCTGTCACATTCAGAGGCATTTGTTTCCACTCAGGAGCAGATGGGTGTGTTTGGGCTGTACAAGAGAGGCCATAAACTTTGTTTACAGTTTGTTTCCACTCAGCTGTCGACTTGAGAGAGAGAGAGTACAATCCATGAGATAGGATAAGTTTAAAAATTATAAATATACATTTGCATTTTCTTAGTATAATGGATGATGCCATGATGCAATGGATGACATCATAATACACTTGATGACATGATACAATGGATGACCTCATGATAAAGTGGATGACCTCATGATACAATAGATGACCTCATGATACAATGCGTGTCATGATATGATATCAAGTGGTTGATAGGAGACTACTACGTCACGAGGCTGCCCACAAAAGCTGCACATAAACAACAGCATCAACAACAGAATTTTTTAATAACAGCCTGCCTGGACAATTTTTTTAATGTCTGATAACCCTCTGCCTTGATCAAAATCCTTGCTGATATAAACGCTGCATCAAATAACCCCCAGGCTTGAATTAAATCTGAGACAGTACATTGGATTACCTAAACCACACCTGTGGCATGACAAGGATCTTCTCAGTGGTCTTCGCCTGGTTGATGACCGTCACGCAGCAGACGAGGTCTTCTTCAGCCATCTTAGCATACTCCACGTACACATCCCAGTATCTGCCATCCTCAAACACCCCTACAACAGACATATGTACCAGAAATGGGTTTCAGAAAACAGAAGACATCAAGTAAGTCTATAACTAGACCAACACAGGGTAAAATAGCCTTTAAGGCAGTACACCCTGTACACTGACTTTTGGTTTTACACTGCTTTTAGCAAATTCCAGTATTCACGGTGACTTTGGGCTTAACACATTCCCATGTGGGATTCGTTGTAGTTAATCGTTTAACGTACCCCAATCGTCAATCTATATGCCAACAATAGGGTGCATGTGAAGGCAGTTTAACCTGTACAGACTTGTGAAAGTAGTATCACACTTTGATAAGCTCAAATTTTAGCTGTCATCTGCTCTCGCATTTCCGTTGTCAATCTATAACTGGAACAAAGACAGTAAAATGGCCTCTAAGGCTGTACACCCTGTACATCTTCCTGTCTGTTTAACTTCGACCCACCCACTTGTATCAAGAAGCTCATACTCTGGTTGGTCAGTTCCTCTGTTGGCATTCTGTGCAATGAGCTGGTCATAAGGAAAGGTCTGTTGCGGGTACTTGTACAAGGCCTTCATGTAGGTGTGTCTCGGGTTGTTGTCAAGATAGTAATACAACTCCTTTACATCTTCTCCATGGTTGCCCTGTATCACACAGTCCATGTACCAACTTGAAACATTTGCAGGAATAATATAGTAGTATATTCCACTAACAAGGCAAGAAACACCAGAAATGGTCTTTACATATGGTACTCATGTGGGGAATCGAAACCAGGTCTTCAACGTCATAAGTGAACACTTTAACCACTGGACTACCCCACCACCCTCGTATACAACATGGCGGTGGGGTAGCCTAGTGGTTAAAGTGTTGTCTCGTCATGCTGAAGACACGGGTTCAAATCCCACATGGGTACAATGTGAGAAGCCCATTTCTGGTGTGCCCCGCCCTGATGTTGCTGGAATATTGCTAAAAGCGGCGTAAAACCAAACTCAGTCAGTCAGTCAGTCTTATACAACATAGGCTACTAAGAATTGGCAAGGGAAGTTCTGAAAGTATTCCTGTCTTTGATATACAGCGGAAGCCGTCTAAACCGGAACTCGTCCGGACTGAAGAAATAATCTGGTTTAGACAGCATGCTGAATTGTAGAGCTGACACAGTTACCTACAACTAGAACTGAACCAGTTTTGTCACTCTCATATACATTGTTGTATCCCGTGGTTCTCTCAATTACTGCACACACTGACAATAAAAGACAAAGATTTCGGCTCATACTAACTTATTACACGTAAACCCATACTGAACTAAGATTAAATTGTCTTTATCGGTAGCCATGTAGTTTCAACGCAGGATTAATTGGACACAATACACATCTGGCCGACTCCTTGCCAAGCGCCAGATTAGGCCGCGCTGATTACTGTATAACACATATTCAGGCGGCTCATTTCATGCCGAGATCTAGAACTGACAGCTGCCGGATTGCAGAGATTTTAAATGATGATAAAGTTACTAACCACGGAGGGGACTGACATTTTATGCCAGGATTAATAACTTGCTGGATTGGACAGCTGCCGGTTTTGACAGCTTCCACTGTAATAGTCTACATAGTAATGCATTGAGGGTTAGCTTTTGAATGAACATGAAATATGCAAGACTGCGTTTAAAGCTCACTTGTGGATTCGTAAGACCAAACAGTCTCTCCTTGAGGCAGGGGTCGTTGTGGTTCCACAGGGCGACGGCTGTACACATGATGCAGTTCTGGTCACTCACTCCAAACAGTCCATCCTCACCAGACATATAGGCCGTACTTGCTGCAGCATCATGGGACACTCTTGACCAGCTGGACCACAAACAGGAGCAGGAAATGTTAGATTGGAAATATGACCATCGAAAATATTTTCTATTTGATATCTTCCCATTCTCATCATTTTGAACCTGTGAAGATTGGGGTTGGAATTGATCTTCAGTAATCCATGCTTGTCATAAGAGGCGACTAACGGGTTCAGGTGGTCAAGCTCGCTGACTTGGTTGACACATGTCATTGTATAACAACTGTGTAGATCAATGCTCATGATGTTGTTCACTGGATTGTCTGGTCCAGATTTGATTATTTACAGACCGCCGCCATATAGCTGGAATATTGCTGAGTGCAGCATTAAACTAAACCAACTCACTCATTATGTTGAGTGATTATATTCATATGATAAATAGGTATATGGTAGATCAAGTGGCCTGAAATTTGATTATGTATTCTGAAGTTGATTTAGTAATCACCAGTCATAAATATGCACTTCTGAAGAGTTCTGTAGAATGCAGTTCTATTTGGTCTGCATCACTGAATCAATAGGAACACATTCCTATGTGTATCAATGACAGTAGAGGTCATCAAGAATAGGCTTTCATGCTTTGTACCAATCTGAAAAACCAAACCAGGGTCTGTTTCATGATGAACTAACACTGTAACCACTAGACTGACACACTGTAAGTATTCCAGTTCCATCACAGTAGGGCAGTGGGGTAGCCTAGTGGTTAAAGTGTTCACTAGTCATGCCAACATTTGATTCCTCACCTGGGTACAATGTGTGAAGCCTATTTGTGATATTTCTGAGGCTATATGCATGTCGGGCGTAGTTAACGTCAGGCGTAACACACTACGTCGGGCTTAGCAGCGCCCTGCTCTAACACGTCATGCACAACATCGGTTAAGCCTAGGCATTACTACGCCCGACTTTACGTCGAGGCGTAGTGTGCTTTTTTTAGATTATCGAACATTTCTAAACCTTCGGGAAAGGGCGCGAAAAGACTTCGCGACACATGCATTTCAGTCGTAATCATGGAAAACCAAAAAGAAACGAGAAAACCCAACTTTTCCGATGGAGAAATAATATGTGGAGAAATTGCGATAGGAGCCATAATCAGTATCACTTCTGATTGTATCCACTATCTTGAAAATGTCAATTCTCCTGAATCTAAATCTTCTGTACATATCAAGGTTGTCATATATTTAGGGTAAGGCAACTTTCCCGTGCTCATTCGCTCCAACTCGCAGAATTCCGTTGGTCCGATTTTTCAAACACTCATATATACATATTTTTATTTGTGATAATTTACCTTCTATTTTCAAAACCGTTGGTTAGTTTTACTGACCGGAAGTCGATACAAATAAACAGATTTTAATGGTTATTTTTTATTTGATGCTCTCTTATTTTTGCAAATTTTATAGCTTGTGCTTCCTATAATAGGAAGTGCCCATGACACTAGAGGATATGGACGATAGGTATTGGTTTACTATAGGTGTACCCAGAATAGACTTGCAGTGAATGTCACCTGACAAGCCCTCCCTCTGTTAGTACAAACCAGTTTCCGTCTGTAGACCTGTCCTCCCTGACGGTTCCCCACTGCCTCTCCGCCAGGTATGGCCCCCACTGGACCCGGGCTGCCGAGGTTGTGGGTGGGTGGATTGACCGCTCTGTGGGCACACAATAAACACTGCAGTCATATGGGCTACATATAATTATTAAATTCATTTAATTACTCATCTGTAATATGCAGTCAAAATGCTTTCTGGATTGCCTTACAAATTGCTTGCTTGATCAATTGAGTGAATGAATATTGTTTTCTGCCACAATCAACAATGATGCAACCTTCTCCAAAACACCAGGGCAACCAGTGGTGGACAGCATGAGCACTGATTCATGTGGATATGTTGATATCAACATGAGTTGAGTTTTACGCGGCTTCTGGCAATATTCCAGCAATATCATGGTGGGTGACATCAGAAATGGGCTTCACTCATTGTGCCCATGAGGGGAATCCAACCCAGGTCTTCGGCGTGTCGAGCAAACGCTTTAACCACCCCACCGCCCCTTATCAACATGGATCAAGAGTCAGATCAAATATCCTGAAACAACACATATAATTTTATATATGTTTTGTGCTTAATGGGTACTCGAGAATGTGCACTGCTGACTAGTTTATTGGGTGTACATGTGAATTGATCATTTCTTGGCTAGTGAGTGAAGGAATTTTGTGTTGTGTTTTGTGTTCAACAAATAAGCAGCAGTCAATCTTGTCCGAGGCAGCCAATCGCTGTTTAATAGAGAGTCAAAATAACAACTCAGCCATATTATTGAAGGTAAGATTCTGCAGAATATATGTACAGCTCCTGCAAAATTGTTCTTCTGTACAACCATACAAGAATCTCACCCAAGTGTCTACTGATATCAATTATATCAACACGAGTTGATAAAGTTACAAATGTCCGAGGCGTGCCAAGGATATTTTCACTTTTATCAACGAGTGTTGATATAATTGATGTCAGTAGACACGAGGGTGAGATTCTATTTATCATCAAAAATCATTCTTCATTAGTTTTCAATGAAAAATGTACATCTCTCAACACTGTACTGCCATTAGACTTGCTGTGCAGTGATGTCATAGCATTGTGACGTCATCAAAGTTGATGACGTCATAGCATTGTCAGGGCATTGTACAAAATCTACTGTCAAAACGATATCTCCTAGGAGATATCATATGATCTCACACAAGCGATATCTCCTGTGGAACACAGTTTTGGATGATAAAATATTGTATTTCACGTACCGGGGCGTAGGGGTAGCCTATTGGTTAAAGCGTACGCCCGGGTTCAATTCCCCACATGGGTACAATTTGTGAAGCCCATATTTGGTGTCCCCCGCTGTGATATTGCTGGAATATTGCTAAAAACGGCGTAAAACCATACTCAGTCAGTCAGTCAGTATTTCACGTACCCCTTTGACTCAGCTTAATGCCAACATCAGTCTTCTTTCTTTCTCCTTCATCCTCCACTAACGGTGACCTGCCTCTCTTCATGATTGTCGACAAGTTGAGTCAGATTCTGCGTATTCTGTCCTCACATATAAACTATTTTGATATAAGCAGCCCAGACCATCAATACTTCGAGAAATAGCTCTTGCACGGAGGGAGGTAGCTTATTGAGAGTGATCTCCCTTTCACCTTTCATGAGTTTGTCATGAAATTCGTGAAGCGTACGTACAATATCAATAAGCGAACGGCATTGCCAGTTAACGACTGTTGCTTATTGTAACAACTGTTTTTTTAACGTTTTTTCTCGTAAACAACATGTGTCTCAGAGAATAATGCAAAAGTTATGTTCAAACGACATCTATCTTATCCTATATTTCGAGATGACAGATACACATAGACATTACAAAACGAGTGTGTGTTGAATATGGAAATTATTGCAACGATATTTTTTTCCATATTCAACACCCACTGGTTTTGTAATCTCTGTATAAATCAAAACGTTTAACAATATTTTGTTGCAATATTTTCTATATTCAACACCCACTCGTTTTGTAATGTCTATTTATTACACACGTGTTCTGAATATATTTTTTAGATAATTTTGTTGTTAGATAGTTGTTGTGTAACAAGTTGAAAGTTATCCAACAAGTGCTGTGTAACCAAACTAGGTTATTCAACGATAGTGACGTCACAATGGCAAACTTTCTGTTGCCACCTCGATATTGCAAGCTGCCTGAAAGATATTCAGAACACGTGTGTAATAAATCATATTTCACTAGACACGTGGAATATTCTATTCATTATTAGCTTCCAATTTTGTTTAATTAAATTTAAACATTATCAATCTGAGAAAATGCGATGAACGAAAGCCAAATTCTCCCAACTCTAAACTAAAGACTGTTCACCTCTTTGTCCAGGCGCACAGATAAGCTATAGTTCGGTATTCGAAAATAAAATAAAAACCGAGTTAAAACATCTGTATCAGTTGCCATATTTGTATCTATTGTCATTATTTGAATATGATCAGCACTTAAGATAAGATCCATCAAACGATCTTTTTTGTCTCAGCGTGCGCGTCAAATCTCGGTGCTAACGCAATAATACATGAGAACTAAGTGTGAAACGGTACTCTCTAACCACGGTTCGGTTTATATGTATTGCGGTACAAAATCTTCGGTTCGGTCCGTTTCGGTTCGGTATAGCAGAATATATTTCAGGGAAAGTAGCGGCCGTCTAGCAAAGAAATGCATAGATTTTGACAAAATGATTCGATTTCTAGATATTTTAGAAGAAATCTTTTTAAAAGTTAATAAAATGACGGTACGAAAACCGAAAAAAAGAAATTTTGGATTGCATTCGGTATACCGAACCGGAGGCAAAATACCGCGATATGCTGTTTCACCCCTTATGAGAACCACAAACAAACGAGAATGGGAATTCCACGATTAAGGGAAACAAATCACCAATTTGCTGTGTCAGTAAGCATATATACAGGTAATAATAACGCTTATTCTCTGAATATATATCATTTTGATAGTAACAAATAGCCCCATTTAATCTGGAAATGAGCTCCAGTGAGATGGAAGGGAATCTAGACTTGCCTCATTTAGCGATGTAGCATGGCAGGGAAGACTCGCCAGGGACTGTGGGTCGGGGACTGTGAGACAGACTAGTAATGACTTCGGCCCATATAATGAAAAAAGTCAAACGTATGCCAGTGTTGAAAGCTGCCAGCACTCACGTAACTCAAGTGTTTTGAACAGATGTAAACTCACACGTGCTCGAAGCAACACACCGAGAGACAGTCACAGACGAACTCGCTTAGTGCGGATGCACTGAATATTTTCTTCGCCGGAGCCCACGTTTGATGACCAAATGCATTTGGTGAAATGAATATGTTTACATCGCCATTTATGGTATTGTGTAACAAGATGCTTGACAGAAAACATTGTTGAGCCACGAAGCATTTCCAACAAAGTGATATTTTGACAACAGTGAACAGATCAGATTTCTGTCACTGCAGTGAAATATCACTATCACTTTACTCTTTCACTGAAAAATCTCACTGACTGTTTCACCCGTAAGTATATCAAAACACACCTACAACCCATGCACGTCCGCACCACGTGCACAAACACAAACCAACACCCCCACCCACAAATAAATACTATTCACCCAGAAACAGAAAAGATCTCAACTTACCCACATCCTCACCAAACAACATCTTCACCCTACCCGCACACCCACAAAAAGTACCTAAACCCTATCCACCAAACAACACCTACACCCCACTCACCAAACAATACCTACGCCCTACCCATCAACCCATTAAACAGAACCTACAGCCTACCCTCATCCCCACCAAACCACATCTACACTCACCCACACACCCACCAAACAACAACTACAACCTACCCCCACACCCACCAAACAAAACCTATACCCTACCCACACACCAACCAAACAACACCTACACCCTACTCACACACCCACCAAACAACACCTACACCCTACCCCCACACCAACCAAACAACACCTACACCCTACCCACACACACACCAAAACAACACCTACACCCTACACCCACGTCCACCAAACAACACCTACACCCTACCCACACACCTACCAAACAACATCTACACCCTACACACTACCCACCAAACAACACCTACACCCTACACCCACACCCACCAAACAACACCAACACCCTACCCACACACCTACCAAACAACAACTACATCCTACCCACACACCAACCAAACAACACCTACACCCTACACCCACACCCACCAAACAACATCTACACCCTACTCACACACCTACCAAACAACACCTACACCCTACCCACACACCCACCAAACAACACCTACACCCTACACCCACACCAACCAAACAACACCGACACCCTACCCACACACCCACCAAACAACATCTACACCCTACACACTACCAACCAAACAACACCTACACCCTACTCTATCACACACCCACCAAACAAACAACACCTACACCCTACTTCACACACCCACCAAACAACACCTACACCCTACTACACACTACCCACCAAACAACACCTACACCTTCCTACACACACACCCACCAAACAACACCTACACCCTACTCACACACACACAATCTAACAACACCCACACACACCACCAAACAACATCTACACTCCTACACACTACCCACCAAACAACACCTACACCTCTACTCACACACCTACTAAACAACACCTACACCCTACACCCACACCTACCAAACAACACTCTACACCCTACACACACACCAAACACCCTACCCCTACACACCAACCAAACAACACTCTACACCCTACCCCACACCTACCAAACAACACTCTACACCCTACTTCACACACCCACCAAACAACACCTACACCTGGCCCCACACCCACCAAACAACACCTACACCCTACCCACACATCCACCAAAACAACACTCCCACACCCTACCCCCACACCCACCAAACAACATCTTCAACAATTCTACCCACACACTTACTACCAAACAACATCTACATGCCTCTACACACACTACCCACTAAACAACATTCTCCACACACCCTACATCCACACCCACTTCCTACCCACACACACCACCAAAACAACACCTACACCCTACCCACACACCCAACCAAACAACATCTACGCCCTACCCCCACACCCACTCAAACAACACCTACACTTCTACACCTACACACTACAAACAACCTATACACACACCTTCTAAACAACACCGACACTCTACCCACACACCTACTAAACAACACCGACGCCCTACTCACACACCCACCAAACAACACCTACTACCTTCTACCCACACACACACCAAACAACACACTCTACACCCTACCCACACACCTACTAAACAACATCTACGCCCTACCCCTACACCAACCAAACAGCATTTACACTCCTACACTTCCACACACTCCACTAAACAACACTGACACTGTACCCACACACCCCACCAAAACAACACTCTACACCCTTACACCCACACTCCACTGAACAACATTCTACAATCTCTACCCTAAACCAACCAAACAACATCTACCCCCCTTACTCCCACACCTACCAAACAACACCGACACCTTACCCACACACCAACCAAACAACATCTACATGCCCCAATTCCTACACACACACTAAAACAACATCTGCACCCTATACACACACTTAACCAAACAACATCTACACCCTACACCTCACTAACCAAAACAATATCTACACTTCCTACCTCACACTCCACTAAACAACACCGGACACTGTACCCACACACCCAATACAAACAACACCCTACACCCTACCCCTCACACCCTTAACCAAACAACATCTACACACTACCCCCACACCCACCAAACAACACCCTACGACACTCCTACCCACACACACAACTAAAACAACACTCCACACCTCTACCCCCACACCCACTAAACAACATCTGCAATCCTATCCACACACCCACCAAACAACATCCACAACCTACTCCCATACACCTTACCAAACAACACATTAATATCCCTACCCCTACACCACTCTACTAAACAACATCTACGCCCTACACTCCACACCCACCAAATTACATCTACACCCTACCCTCTATTAACCCTAACTAAACAACACTCTACACCCTACCCCACATACACCACAACCAAAATAAACATCTATGTACACTACACCCACACTCCACCAAACAACATCTACATCTCCTACTCCCCACACCCACTAAACAACATCTACACCCTACCCCTACACCCAACCAAACAACATTCCACATCCCTAAACTACACTCACATCCACCAAATAACACCTACACCCTACCTTCACACCAACCAAACAGCATCTACGCCCTACACCCACACCTGTTCCACCAAACAACACTGACACACCCTACCCACACACCCACCAAACAACACCTACACCCTACACCCCACAATTCTACTGAACAACATCTACACCCTACCCCCAAAACCAACCAAACAACATCTACCCCCTACCCCCACACCCACCAAACAACACCGACACCCTACCCACACACCAACCAAACAACATCTACGCCCCACCCCCACACACACCAAACAACATCTGCACCCTATACACACACGCACCAAACAACATCTACACCCT